ACACCTACACTGAGGAACACACCTGACTACACCTACACTGAGGAACACACCTGACTACACCTACACTGAGGAACACACCTGACTACACCTACACTGAGGAACACACCTGACTACACCTACACTGAGGAACACACCTGACTACACCTACACTGAGGAACACACCTGACTACACCTACACCCTGATGACCACAACCAATTCATTGAAAGGTTAAAGTGAAAAACTGAAGAAAAAATTAAACTCGTGCTGGAAATTCCTGGTGAGTAAAAGATTGTTGTTGTTGTTACAACGTTTCAACAACTAAGGTCTTTAATAGCAACAATCGCCTTACGTATGATTAACTGCAACAGTGCGACATAAGGCGATTGCCGCCATCCAGCGGCTTGGTCGCACGGCCGCCGTTTAGCTCCTTAATACGATTGCCGCATTCAGTGGCTTGGTCGTATTGCCGCCGTTAAGCCCCCATAATGCGATTCAAATTTGCCCTGCGAAGGGACTAGATTTATTAGGCACCCCCTTGTACCTTATGCAGGGCTAAGCACAAAGTGTTTATAGCGCTCAACAGGGAAGCATGTGGAGTTCATGCTTGCCTTCATGACACATGCATTTAAGGCCGTAAGTGCCTGAAGGGCCATCCATGTATAATGTCGGTAAGTTACATATAGTGACAGGATGAGTGTGTGGACGGAAGATTCCCGATAAAATACATTCTTGTGGCTTCTTCAACCTTGAGCTGTGACCCCTTGTGGGGCGGGCGTTCGCCATCTCCAGGTTTAGACACTCGACTGAGCAGTGCCCTCTGAGGTGTTTATAAACTTCACTTAGGTCACCCCTTACCTGTCTGTAGTATAAGCTAGACATTTGTAGGCGTTCTGATCTCTCTGGGTAACTGAGGTGCGGTAGTGCAGGCGGGGTCCGGACAAAAACCCCGAGGACGAAAACCTTCGGTTCAAGTACAAAGTAGGAAAAAAACCCTAGGTTTAACATAAGAACATAAGAATGGATGAAACTGCAGCGGCTCTATTGGCCCATACTGGGCAGTCCCATTTACACCCAGCCCCTATTGCTCATATATCCATCCAACCTAAGTTTGAAGCTATCCAGCGTATTCGAGTTAATGATGATATTTGGTAACTTGTTCCAGTCGTCCACTACTCTATTTCCAAACCAATGTTTACCTATTTCGCGCCTAAATCTAAATTTGTCTAACCATTGTTACGAGTTCGCTCCTGGTTGGAAAGTTTGAGTACCTTTGTAATGTCCCTTTTGTTTAGCTCTGACTTCCATTTATACACCTCGATCATGTCGCCCCTCACTCTAAGTCTCTCGAGGGAGTGCAAATTAAGATGCTTTAACCTGTCTCTGTACTCAAGGTTCCGAGTGCCCTGGATTAGTTTTGTCATTCTTCTCTGAATTCTTTCCAAGGATTCTATATCCATTCTGTAATACTGTGACCAGAATTGAACTGCATAATCCAGGTGAGCTCTCACAAGCGCAAGATATAGTTTTAAGATGACCTCGCTAGTCTTGTAACTAACACTCCTTTGTATGAACCCAAGTACTTTATTAGCTTTGTTTCGAGCAAATACACATTGTTTACTTGGCTTAAGATTCCTACTTATCATTACTCCTAAATCTCTCTCGCAGTCGGATTTCTCAATTACATCGTTGTTCATCTGGTATCTGGTTTCCCTATTTACATCTCCTATACTGAGTACTTTACATTTGTTCACATTGAATTTCATCTGCCAATTTTCAGACCATTCGAAATTTTTTTTTTTAGATCTTCCTGTAGTTTTGCAGAGTCTTCGTCAGATTTAATTACACGTCCTATTTTAGTGTCATCAGCAAATTTACTTATGTTGCTGTCTACGCCGATATCTATGTCGTTTATGTATATAATAAATAATAATGGTCCAAGTACTGAGCTTTGCGGAATTCCACTAGTGACGTTGTTCCAATGGGATTTAGTGCCGTTAATGCTCACTCGCTGTTTCTGTCCTGTAACCACGCCCTAATCCATTTTAGAATATCACCTTTAATGTCATGAACCTCCACTTTTCTTATTAGTCTTTCGTGGGGGACTCTGTCGAAGGCTTTGCTAAAGTCGAGATATACCACATCATAATTGTGCCCCTCGTCCACTGATTCGAAAACTGATGAAAAGAATGTTAATAGATTAGTTAGACATGAATGCCTCCTTGTGAAGCAATGATGGGAATCATTGATCAACTTGTGCTTCTCCAGGTGATTTCGAATAGAGTTTGAAATTATTGCTTCCAGTTATTTGCTTACAATTGATATTAGACTGATTGGAGGATAGTGATCTATCTCCATTCTTGAAAATCGGTATTACATTCGCTATTCCCCAGGATTCTGGTACTACACCTGCTTTTAAGGACATGTTAAACAACTTTGCTAGGGGCATACTAAGCTCTTCCTTACATTCTGGCAAATATCTCATCGGGACCTGGTGACTTATTAGGCTTTAGTTTGTCTATTTGCTTACTCACATCGTTACTATTTTTTTTTTATAGTCACGACTATCTCGCTTAATCTATTTTCTTCAGAATCTCTGTATATAGTCGGTGCCTCGGGTATCATGTTTAAATTTTCGGTGGTGAAAACTGTTGAAAAATATTTATTCAGTTTATTGCTCATTTCTCCGTCGTTATCAGTTAGCTCGCCGGTATCTGACTGTATTGGTCCAATCTTTTCTCATGTATTAGATTGATAGATCAGGGCCTGGGGTCGAAAATATAATAATAATAATAATAATAATAATAATAATAATAATAATAAAAATAATAGTAATAATAATAAATACAAAAAACAAAACAAAATCACTGGTGAGAAACGATACATGTATGTTGTGTTGTCAATGGTAAGAGAAACAATTAAGACCCTGCAATTGTGTGTAAATGAGGCAGAAAGTCAGATCAGAAACCTGGGACTTGGTCACAATTTTTATGGTGCCATATGGCAGCAGGGTCTACCATTAGACAACACATGCTTTCAATATCTTCCCAGGCGGTAGTACCTCTCTGTTTGATGGCTGCCTACTACCTGCATTGCAAGTGAGGTCATGTCAAACCCAAAGGTGCTTTTACAACTAAACAAAGTCGAAATTAAAAGCGCGAGTAGGCATATCGGACCTGAGGCTTCAAGATGGTAGTTACGCAGATTCTGACCAGGACAAAGCGGAGGCGTTGAACAGTTTCTTTTCCGCGGTGTTCACAAGGAAGGATGCGAACACTCTTCCTGTGTTTGAGGACAGACGGTTTGACACAGTGCTGACCCACATTGTGTTCTCAGAAGTAGTTATAAGAAATAAATTGTCAAAGCTAAAGGTTCATAACGGTGCCTGGACGCTCCTGTTTAACACAATTACTCAAGGTACTGGATGTTTGGACCCAAATTCTGGAACAGGGTGGCAAAGTCGACAATATACAGTATACCTAGATTTTGTCAAGGCTTTCGACAGCGTACCCCATGAAAGGCTAAAAATTAAACTGGAAGGGTGCGGGATTCGGGGAAGTGTCCTAGCTTGGATCGGATACTTTCTTTGATCGCAAGCCAGAAGCTGTACATTCCTCCATACAAATGTTTGCGGACGTCACGATGCTAAGTTTTTCAGGGAAATTAAGAACCAAGCAGACTGTGAAGAGCTGCAGAAGGATCTCTGAGCTTCAAGAAGGGTCGAAGAAATGGCTGCTAAGATTCAATGTCACGAAGTGTAAGAGGATGCACCCGGGACGTACCAATGGTAAGAAGGTGTTTCATATGTCTCAACGGGACGTAGAAACCGCATTAATAAAGACAATGTGAAAAGGAACTAGATGTGTATGTTGACAATGAACTGAAATTCTCGGGCAATTGTGAGAAGGTAAACCAAACAACTAAATTATTAGGTCTTATAAGAAGGTCGTTCAGATATCTAGACGGTCCTTCCCTCGTAACGATCTGCAAGAGCGAGGTTCTTCCCCGCCTGGAGTACTGTCGTCCCGCCTGGTCTCCGAGATATGCTAGGGACTGTCAGTTTATTGAAACTGTCCAAAGGAGGGCCACCAAACTGGTGCCTGCACTTCGGCACCTCATTTACCCAGAGAGATTAAAAGCACCTGCAATTGCTTAGCTTATACTACAGACGGGCAAGGGGGGACCTAACTGATGTGTAAAAGCATCTCAAAGGGCACTACTCAGTCGAGTGTCTTTACCTGGAGCTCAAGGTTGAACAAGCCCCAAGTCCAGAAAACTGTGAGGGCAAACTTTTTCGGGGTGAGAGTTGTGAACTCGTGGAACAACCTGCCAGAGAGTGTTGTGACGGTACCGAGTGTGAGCTGTTTCAAGACCAGACTTGACCAACACTGGAGTAGGTTCAGATACATTCACGAGGCAGTGCATCCCCAGTACTTGCCAACAGTGCGTAACAGAGTTGTGATCGATCGCCCAAGCGGCTAACGAGCCGATCAGTGGTGAAGAGGATAAAAGTAAAAAGTAGATTAGGTATTACAGTCTTATGATATAATAAATGTAATATTTTATCTGTCAGAGAAGTGTTTTAACGTTCTCCCCGTTTCCTCCGGTACTAACACGGCTAGTGAGCGAATGCTTCTGTAATGTCATTTTTTTTTATAATGTTATTAATTACGTCAGTCGCGTGTTCATTACTAGCTTTCTGTAAAGTAATTTCTATATTTCTCATTACAGTTCAATATTACAACCACTGCTTTTCTTATCAAGTTTCAACATTAAGACTAAACATAAATAAAAGTTAAGTTAAAATGTGAGAAAAACAGTTATTCTCCTCGGCAACAAATGCATTTATGAATATCTTCACAATATCTGTAACATCATTATTCTCCATTCAACAGGACTAATTAAAACGTGGGGTTGGATCTGACTCCTAGATTAGATTATTATATCGAGTACATCATTAAATAAATGGTTTAATATGAAGGATCTAGCAACTCACCCGACGGGGACATCAACTTCATCAAGGTCAAGCCCAGTTTTACACCACCCAGCGGATGAAGGCGAGGCAGTTAGCAACTAGACTTCCCAGTGAACTGGTGAACTTAGTGGTCGGTGGGGTGACTAGGCGTCTAACAACACGTGTCTTCATATTAAACTGCAAAAGGTACCGTTGATTGAACGTTAATGAACTGTGTGGTGATAATTTTAAGGAATGCTCAGAGTATTCAGAGCCTTAAACGTTATTTATTCAGAATATGCAAATGGGATGAAAGATATACAGTATGTGGAAATTAACCAAGGATTTTCTCCAGTGTGAGGTACTACTGCCTGGGAAGATATTGGAAGCATAATGTGTTGTCTAATGGTAGACCCTGCTGCCATATGGCATCACGAAAATTGTCCCAGGTTGTTGATCTGACTTTCTGCCTCATTTACACACAATTGCAGGGTCTCAATTGTTTCTCTTACTTTGACAACACAACATACATGTATCGTTTCTCATTATTGATTTTGTATTTAATATTATATTTTTTTTATTATAGAATTTATTTATTTTTATTAATAATTATTTTATTTTTATTATAATGTTTATTTACTATTACTGTATTATTATTTTCATCATTATATTTTCGCCCACAGGCCCTGATGTGGGTCAGTGACCTGTGCCTAGGTGGACTAATTCCTGTAAAAAAGTACAATACACATTTATTTAAAAGGACAAATTTCATGGTGGTGGCTTACAATTAGGATATCACGTAATACAGAAGTTATAAGTTAAGACTTCACATAATTTTACCACAGGAAAATATTGATGTAGAAAAAAAACTAAAACAGGCTACTTTCGTCTTATCCCTGACCAAATTAGAGACGAATAGAGTTCAAGACTACCATATAAAACATGATGAACTTGAAGGAAGAGACAATTCCCATCCCAGGCACGTGAGAGAGCATGGCAAGGGGATAATTGATTTTGTAAGTCTGCCTCAACGCAGTCAACTGCCATTTTAACGGAATTTTGTTACAGCGTTGAATGTAACTAATGTTAGGGGCACTTTTGATTCTTATTGTGTAATATTTGATTGTATCGACTGCCAAATTGTCCAGAAACTAACAGAATATCTTCTTTTTCTATTTACCTGATTTCCCTGTACTGTAGCGGCCACCCTAATTAAGAGGTGACCCTACCTGGGAAAGAAAACCAATGGCTTGTGTAAGAATTCCTCATTGTTCTTGAAAGTCTTGTTCAGTGAGCTGGTAGACTTCCATTGGTCTACCATTCCATTCTTTGTGTGAAATCAAATAGTACTTCCTTCAGTTGCGAATCCAGGGAGGGGGCTTCTCATAAGACTCGTCTGATCTCAAATTAGACTAAGGGCAGCATCACACATGTACTGGCAATTTTCGCTTTCGACTAGTACTAGTGGATAATAGGCATATATACTAGTGAGGTATTGTTTGTATCTGGACGTCTGCGTGAATCGATGATAACATTTTCGGTGATAACCATATTGGTGATGAACAATGGCATCTGGAAGAGCTTCACACAGTTCATTGCACCTTTCAGAGTCAGTTTTTCCACTCGGTTGACGGATTCTTGCAGCTTTTCTTATTGATCTGAAAATTTCTTGGCTAATGGGATTGATTTTCTCCTTTGATGTTGGTGTAAAGCATTTGATGCAAGTGTATTCTTCTTAAGCTCTTTTTTTACTTTCAGTGGCTTCTCGTCCACCATTTCCACATCTTACTGAAAGACAAAGTGAGATAAAATGATAATATGGAGTGAGAAAAAAAGTTGAATGATTTGGTAAATAATTGCCAGTTTTAGACTTTCCGGCGGCCATTTTGGATTTCTAGGCATGATTATAGCATCAAAATGTAAAGGTAACGTCACCAGCGAATTTATCGTCCCCAAATTACTGGTAAAGAAGCCCTTAAAGATGTTTGTAGGCCAAATGGATCAATAGTTACATTTTTCTTAAATTTCACTTATGACGCATGGCGGCCATCTTTGCTTCCCATTATCGGGTACCCGCAACTGGATATCGCGCCTGTATTCGATGGTTTTTGGAAGATATACTGTAGGTACCAACTAACCAATCATAGCAGCAATTAAATAGACGGGGGGTGAGGGGGGTGGACCTTTTCGGTATCCGCTATATTGCAGCAGGGGCTACCATTAGACAAAACTAAAATTAAGAAAAGCTTAAATCCTACAGGTGAATATAGAAAGATAGGCATATATGCTACAGCAATCAAGAAAAGTGAATATCATGGGTGTGTATGTGTGAGAAGTGAACGTGTGTAGAGGCGTTTATAGCCACGGCCTTAATAACTACGTGGCTGACTCGCCAGCCTCGTACTGTACATTGATACTTGTAATGAAATTATGAGAGTTATGGAAAAATAATTACAATACTCTAATGCAGCTTAGAAATATAGGAAATAGAATATAACTACTGTATAATATAAGAAAAATGAAGAACATCGGTGTGTGTGTATATGTGGGAAGTGAATATATGTTGCGGCAGGGGTTACTTTGTTCTCTAATCTCTAGCTTCCTTGAGAACCGACCCAAGGCAGGTTGTTGTCCAGGGATCGACCTTTCGTTCTTTCTCTACCAAAGGTGGTGTCCCACAGGGTTCTGTTCTTTCACCTACTCTCTTCCTTCTTTTTATCGATGATTTACTTCACACTACAACTAATTTTATCCATTCTTTCGCTATTGATTCTACTAGTCACTCTTCTTCACATTTTCCCCTCCCCCTAACTCTCAAACTAGATCTGTTTCTAGCGCTGATATCATTACATCTATCAATGCGGATCTGTGCAGCATCTCCGAATGGGGAGGTAGAAACTTGGTTAAATTCATTAGTAATAAAACTCAGTATTTACTAATCACATTTTCCAAATTATATGATCTCCCACCAATCACATCTCAGGACGCTATCATTCTGCCAAACTCTAAAATATATATGCTAGGCCTCACCATTTCCTCTAACATGTCATGGAAGCCACACATCCTCAACATTGCTAAAGCTGCCTCCCGAAAGCTGGGAATGCTGTACAGATGCTGCAGCTACTTCATTCCTGAGTAATTGCTTCAAGTATTTAAGGGCTTCATTCGTTCTAACTTGGAGTGATGCTCTCATATCTGGGGTGGCTGTGGGCTCGAAACACACGTCTTGCCCGCCGTGCTCAGCATTTCTCTGTGGATGTCGGACACATTAGAGTAACCCATTACGGTACATCCTTCTTTCCTCACAGCCAAACTGTGGAATGCTCTGCCTTCTTCTGTATTTCCACACTCAAACAATGTCTCTCTTTAAAAAACTGGTTTTTCGGCATCTTCGTGGTATAGATTAATATAACCTTTTCCTTTTTCTATTTTTAATTTTTTTTTCTTTTCTTTTTTTTCGCCCCCGAGGCCCCGATGTGGGTCAATGACCTGTGCCTGGGTGGGCTATTCCCAGTAAAAAAATAAATAAATAAAAATAAACAGCAAACAGCATTTTTTTTATGCTTGGCTGAGCTCCCACCCGATGTGACGTCACGGCATACGTAACCGCGGCCAAGTAGCCCACCAGGGTTGCCAACTTAGCGACTTTGTAGCTAGATCTAGAGCTTTTTGTTTTTTTCTAGCGACATTTTAGAGCGATTTGCTACTTGTCGCAAATCTAGAGATATCCACAGAAATCTAGCGACTTTCTGGATACTTTTGGACTGTCCATGAAAACTCAGTTTTCCTAATTTCGAGCCATACTATATAGCAACGGGGTTACAGGGACAATAAATAATAAGAAAAGTTTAATACATTTGAATGGGTCGTGGTACAGAAGGAGGGACACGTCTATTTCCTGATCACTTGATGTCAGCCCGTACATGCATCTAACACCCTAAAATTGTGGTCAGAAGTGGTAAATTAGAGAGATGCGACAGGTGAAAACCCTTACCATGATCTGGCTGAAATTGCACTCGCTGCCTTATCTCTTCCGCATTCAAACGCAGATGTAGAGCGCACATTTAGTAATATGAACTTTGTGCAATCAAAATTGCGCAACAAAATGAAACTATCGACATTATAGGCAATTCTTACAATAGAGTATGGGTTAAAAAGACAGAACACCTGTTGTGCAAGTTATGAACTTCCTAGTGATATTTTAAGAAAGATAGGAACTGTGGAGGCATACAGTTACAAGAGAACCTGAACCAAGCACTTCACATGCTTCCAGCTCTACAGTTGTTCACACTACGAAGAGGACTGGGATGCAATTACTATTGAATAATAGGTAAGTGTGCACATTAAACTTTAAACAAAATAATATTTTTATTTTTACATAATGCATTTTATTTATACTCCGTCCATTATAGTCGGCATTATGAAAATATTATTTGCATCAAATTACTGAAGGGGGGGAATAATAGCTAGCGACTTTCCATGGAAGATTTAGCGACATTTAGCTACTTTTAGGTACCAGCCTAGCGACATTTGAAAATCCGAGTTGGCAACCCTGTAGCCCACGCCACACGTCTGTGAGTCAGCTGTTTGACTGCCCGAATTGCGCGTCGCCCAGTTACAGTTTGAGTGTGGAAGAAGCCCTTGTGCGTACATAAAAGTGCTATTGTATTTTATGATCTGCTATGTATTCATTTTATTGTTTATCATAGTAATAAATATGGAAGCTCATCCCCGTTACGCGCGGTATTCAAACTTACGATACTAGCTGATTTGGGAGGTATTTTCATTATTTCATTTTGGTGTCGGTTAGTTGAATATACCGTTTGCCTGGATAACTGGGATTCTAATATATTAAGGAGAGCCACCAGATTAGTGCCTGCATTACGGCACCTCGGTTATCCAGATAGAAGATCGCCTTCAACTGCCTAGCTTATACTGTGAGGTATATTTTGTGTTTGTGTTCACACTCAGAATGGGATGGAGGAAGGAAACTCACAATGCGCTTTCTGTATATATATTGTTGTACAGTGCAGTGCTTAGGAGTGACTAGGAGAGGAGAAGCTTGCTCAGAGGTCCTGTAGGGCGAGGAGGTTTCTGAGGAAGCTGGGTGGTGAGGAGCTGTGAGAGATGTTGCTGGGCCGGTATCCGAGTGTAGAATGGTCTCCCGGTCGTTGTTGTTGAGATTGTCGGACCGTAGTCCGACACGGGCCTTTGCCTATAGGCGGCCCGTTTGGTGGTTCCGGCTGGAGCTCCTGGAGCAGCCAGACCGGATTGGGATTAGAGGTGGTCCTACCTGCAGATTTGGAAGGATACTGCAGGTTGCAAGTGTGAGCGGACCCCCGATCAGTGGACGCTTACCACCAACCCCCACTCTTGGACGTGGTCGGTTTCGGAGTGGCGCGCCCCCCGAACTGGGGTCCGCACTTGCTGGGAGAGGATACTTTCTAAGCTATCTGGGTGGTGGGTATCGTGTGATGACCCGGAGAAGGTGGTGAATGTGGTTTGTTTGGGCCTTTCGGGTTAGAGTGGCCGCTGGTGTTGTGTGTGCTTCTTGGGAGTTTTGAGTTCTGTTTCGGAAGCTTTGTGTGACTTCGCAGTCGAGGAGATAGTGTTCAAGTGGGTTGGCTGCTGGCTCCTGACAGCAGGTGCATTCCATGACGTCATTTCCGATCATCTCCCGATCGATCGATCGATGGATGAAGTAAAGTATGAAGAAATCTTGATGCAGGTGCGTAGATTGGTGGTGCGGGAACTGGACTTGAAGAATAATGGTGGAACTTGGAGGGACTTGGGGTTGGTGGATAGTGCAGAAGAAAAGCGAGGAAATTGGAAAATAGTAGTAGAATGCTAGGTCTTGGGGCTCAACCCAAGTGCTTCTGTTTTCTCATGTTTGTGTTTCAGCTAATTTTCGTCTTAGGTGTTATATTTATGTCAGGTGTTTGTATGTTTAGCAAATATTGCAATTTTATGCCTTACATTTTCGTGTCTTATGTGCTAGCCAATGGTGAGGAGTCTAGGGCAGGTACTTGTGTTTCTGCCAAGAACATCCTATCTTTTTATGATCTAATGTTGTAAGTGGTTGGGCTGCCAAGGTTGTCACTGGGGTAACGTGGGGAGGGCTAACTAGAGTTGATAGTCCTGAACGCTCGTAAGGTAGTCCGGTGACAGTCGTGGTCGTTTCCAAAGGCGGAGACCCCCAAGGGGCGTTGCCCCAAAAAAGATTTCTGGGAAGGCCAGTGGTAGACAGAGAGGTCGAGTTGTAGTCAGGTCGTCAACAGTAGAAAGAAGGCTGGCTGCTTAGCAGTGAAGGGTCAGAAGAGAGGTCCGTCCACTACAAAAAACAGTGAAATTGTGGCTTTTTTAAATAATTTTCTATGAAAAATCGGCAGCGGGTATCACGTCAATAATTGCCTTATTATGAATGATTTAGTAATTATTGACGATAGGCTGATTTGGAAGTAGGAATTCCTTCTGCAAATCATATTTGTTTATACTGTACTGTAACTATTCTCAGACAAGATGGATGAGTTAATGGTGCTAGACAACTTCATCGCTGGGACAATGGTTCCATGTAAGCGCCTGTTAGACTCCTACAACCCCAGCACTGGTAAGGTTTGGGCAAAGGTGCCAGACTCGGGCAAGCTGGAGATAGAAGCTGCTGTGTCTGCAGCCAAGAGAGCATACCCAAAGTAAGTTCTGTATGTTCATCTAGGAATGACATTTTTCTCAATAATTTCAGTCAGATTAGCATCTTTCTTATCCATACTGTTCCAAGCAAACCTAGCATGAGTATGGGTCACTTGTGTACAGTATTACCTTCAAAGGAGGCATAACTGTGGTAAGGACAAGGAGTGTTATCCTTGTAAGACCTCGCATCCAAACTGAAGGGTGTACTGTTTGGGGTAAATATTTAGTAATTGCCAACACCTAGCTATATATTGAGTCATATAGGGAGAAAGAAAAAACAAATAATTTATTCTATAACGTTTTTGAAAGAAATTTATATTTTTAGAGTATTTTAACCGATGAAATTACCAACAATATTACTTGTTCAAAGTGCGCAGGACTTTGAAGTAGAGGGAAAACGTAGTGGTAAAAAAAAAAACATTTCTAACATTTAAAAATCCTAAAACTATACAATGCTTACCTTGATTATGTTTTCAGTGTTTAGTATGTGATGGTATTGTTTTCGGTACTAAGATGAAGAGGGACCCATAAACTCAAAAGCGATTCTTAATAGTTTTCAGGTTAGGTAAGGGTTTCAAAGGTTGTTTATTTGGTATTTTGCCCCACATTTTCCCTTCTCCTTAAAGCCCTACCCACTTTGAACAATTAATATTTTGGGTAATTTTATTGATTAAAATATACAGTACTTGAAAAATAAAAATTTCCGATGGAAATGCTATAGTGTACTGTAGAATAATTTGTTAGTTTCTTCTTTCTCCCTATATAAGACTCAATATATACAGGAGGTAAGTGTTGGCAACTACTAAATATTAACCCTGTACTGTAGTATACTTGCCTTTTATCAAATGCATACTGTTGACCATACAAAACTGCCATTAGTTAATGAAACGATGTCACATTAATAGATACTTTTTTCAATTTTTGGCCATGATCAAGTTTCCCTAATCTTTTAGTCAATCTTTGTGTTTAGCTCAGTTTAAATGGCCAGATTTTTTAGGTTTGTGTTTGGTTTTAAGTGATATTCAAGTGGAAGACAAAAGGTTTGTCCATCATTCTTTGTGTGTACTGTAGTTGGTCGAGCATGTCTGCCCAGAGACGAGCTAACTACCTCTTGAAAGTAGCTGACCTTCTTGAGTCAAGGCTGGAAGAGTTTGCTGTGGCAGAGTCCCAGGACCAGGGCAAGCCTGTGTGGCTGGCCAGAACCATGGACATGCCCAGGGCAGTCCTCAACCTCAGACACTTTGCTCATACCATTCCACACCAGCTCAACACGTGAGTTTTGACACACAAGATATTTAATATTATGTACTGTACTGTATACCAAAGTTTATATTGTATTCACAGATCTCTTTTACAGTTCTGTACAGTATTACATATAAAAGCTGTATCATAGTTGAGTACGGGTATTAACATCGCCCACAAAAGTATTTGCATCGGAAAGAAAGTACTGTATCATGATCATAAAGATAAGTGCAAAAACAAGCATGGGTTGTGATAATTTGGTTATCATACAGGTCAAGTGTGCAGCCTGAAGCTGGTGTTTTCAATTACACGATAAGAGAACCAGTAGGTGTTGCTGGTCTTATCAGTCCTTGGAATCTGCCATTGTATCTCCTGACCTTCAAGCTTGGCCCAGCCCTAATGTGTGGCAACACTGTTGTTGCTAAGCCATCAGAAATGACTTCTGTTACTGCTTACATGTTCTGCAAAATTCTTCAGGATGTTGGTAGGTTATTTCATGTACAGTATGGTCTTCAGTTACGCGGTCAATTGAACCCCCTGGAGGTCCTCGTAAACGAAATAACAGAACATATGGGATTAATTGAAATAGAGACTGGGCCGACCCCCAAACTCCACTTTTTCCGACACAATACGTACGTTGTAGTAAAAATAACATCTTAATTTTATGATGGTATGCACACACAATTAATATTTAAGAGAAATATCAATAATATTAGGTTTTTTAACACTTACGTTAGTAGAAAAGATGGCTGGGCACACGGGGATGGGGGGTTGGTTCCGAGGCAGAGGGCAGATTATTGGCCCTCACCTGTATCACTTGTATCAATTGTATCACTATCCACCACAGAGGCTTGCAGGGCCTCTTTGTCAAACCCCTCAAAGTCCATATCCTAACTATCACTATCACTGACTTGGGCTGGCTGTGGTGGGTGGCAGGTGAAGAACTCGGTAATGTTTTGCTGACTGGGCGACCTTGTGCGCACGCTTCCCGCGTAAATGATGGAATGAACCGTGTAAATAAAAATTGTCGGTCTGGCAAGGTGCCGCGTAAATGACCAAACGCGTAAACCAAATCCGCATAAATCGAGACTATACTGTATATGAAATTGAAATTCCTTCCTATGAATACTGTACAGTATATCCTTTTTATCACCACCTCCTAGAAGTTAGTACAAATATGTTTTTTTTTTTCAGCCTTATATAAGGAACAAAAAATAATTTAATGTGTTGCAGTACAGTAATCCTAAACAGTTTTAGGAATTTAGGTATACTGTACAGTATTTTAGGTCAATAAGTCAAGGTTGACATTTTATTGGTACTGTACTACCTGTACTGTTTAATTAGTATTCATCCCTTGCTACTGCTGTTGTTCCTCTCCCCTTCCCTTGTTTCTGTCATTGTTTTCTAATAATTCTTTATATCCTTTTATAAAATCACAACTTGACAGACTCCCTGGTTTCATAGCCTAACCTTCCCTAGAATATGCACCATTTTCATGTTTTTATGCTCCTTTGTACCCACAGATTTCCTGCTGTTCTACTGGTAATTTTTGCGACCTCTGCCTGTTTTATTGTATGTATATATTATACTGCCCGATTGGGGGTCACTAATACTAAGGGTAAATACTTAACTCTCATCTTAATTTCTAAGGGTCGCTGCCACCAGACCCCCTCTGGACAGCATGTAGCTCGTTAGGTAGCGTGCAGAGTGGACTAGGCATTGGGTTAGGTTTTCTATTGACCAGATCGATAAGGGAAAAGAAGGGTGAAACCATAACATGTCTTAATTAATTTATTCCTTATAAAGCATACTGGTAAAAAACATACACATGAATTGGTCTTCCTCGGAAGAACAACGAAAATGTTGGTTACCCAGATGGGCACCAGACTCTTACATTAATGGCGTGTCATCCACCTACTTATTGCATAACAATCTGTGACCACCTTACCTCGGTCATTCCTTCTTACACTATCCCTTAACACATCAGACTGCTCCACCTGTATGGAATATAGCACCGTCGGTTATCATACATAGTAGCACCATCTCAACACACATGTTACACTCCACCCCTGCAGGTATGGGACTCCTTGTAACTTTTAGGTATACACGACAGGCACCTCGTTCGCACACCGCCCTCGGTGGGTAAAGACGAGGGCTTCACCAAGAGACATACCAGTACTATTTCTACGCCTGGTATTATAGGTCGCTCCAAGTGACGACCGCAGAGTTTCTCACGGTCTCCTTATTTGTTACTACTCATTTGGAGTGGTGTGCTGGAAATCCACAGGTTCACAGTGGACTGGCATAGCTGGGAGTAGTCACCACCTGTTGGGACGCTCATAGGGATAATGGCTGCCGGGCAGCAAGGCACTCCGACCGCATGGAACCTGAGGTGACGGTAGAACGGAGGGTACTGAGGGCAGTGCCCTGCCGCTCGTCATCGCATAGGCCTACAGTTTCCAATCTTTAATTTTTATTTTTATTTCTTACGGTTCTCACCTGAACACTATTCGGTATATTGTCACTCATGCCGTATAAACACATATTTTAATTCTAAATTGCGCACTAAGGTCAGGTCTTGGTTTGCTAGTTCGTGGGTAAATTCATTGGGTTATAATATCAACGCGTCACACCCGAGGCGGGTACATGACGCACCTTAAAACAAAGGCTGAATGTTCATGGCGGGGGTGTATCAACTTCACTTAAAACTGTAATGAGGGATCCTCCTCTCACACATTGCACTATTTGAACACAGACATAAGATTCTCTGATCACTGTACCTGTCGTGGGTATATGTCACGTGAGGATACGAGGTGTATTAAGTTCATACCGACGCATACAAGATATTTCCTTTCAAGTATAGTTTCTGGGTCACTTCCAACACCTCACATAGTTCTGATACATTTATCCTTTTTCCAGATCATTGTTCTCATGTATTTTCATATGATATCTGTGGAAGTTATGTTCGCTACACGCTCACAGACGTAAATAGTATGACCTTCAAACCCTGATCCACACTTAGTCCTACAGTACACTAGTCCGGCTCAACTGGACTTTAACATTCATCTTATGGATACCCTGAGTTCTCCTTAATGCTATGAATACATACAATTAATATGATATAACTGTACCTGGGTACAATACAACACATGGTCTAGTAACATTGAGTAGGTGAGTTATCCTTTAGCAATGTTTCCCGTTTTCTGAAGTTTTACAAGCGCGGTGGATTTGAATGTTATATAGCGTAATATGAATTAAATGGGGTTTTTAGGAATGACAATGATGTGCGCAGTACAATATATATATATATATATATATATATATATATATATATATATATATATATATATATATATATATATATATAAAATGGAAACAACGGAGTTGTTTCATATATCATATCTTATCCACGTTTTCATATTTACATGATATATATATATATATATATATATATATATATATATATATATATATATATATATATATATACCCGGTATATATATATGAGCCCACTGCCTTGCCGGCAGTACACAGGATGCCAAATCCACCTAACTTTTTTCCCTCTTGTATTTCACCTCCCATTCTTTTATTTTGGGGGCTATTTCATGCGAGTGTGGGAGATGGCCACAAAATGGTAATAATGATAAGGATTTTTTATTTTTTGACTAATTACAGTAGTATGCCTTTGTTCATCATTATATTCCTTTTCTTTACTAGTCTTTTCTAGTCCCTCTTATTTGGGTGTACTGTATGTACTCTTGTTTAATCTCTACTTGTCCAAACAACTATTCAAGCCTACCCTCTTTTCTTTAATCAACTTTCTTTATGCTTGTAGCCCTATCTTATTTTCACTTTTAAGTTTGTGGATACTGATATTTTATGTTGAGGTTTGAAAATAATGCATTGTTTTTCCATCATGTGCAGATTTCCCAGCTGGTGTGGTGAATATGGTGTTTGGTTTGGGTCCCTCAGCTGGTGAGGCCCTAGTGACCCATCCTGATGTGCCTCTGGTGTCCTTCACTGGTTCCACAGTCACTGGCAGACACATTGCTCAAGCTACTGCTCCTATGTTCAAGAAATTATCACTAGAGGTAAATGTATCAATGCCTTACCTATATTAATATTTCAGTTTTCAAGGTAATTAGAGACTGAAGGAAAGAGTAAGCTCAATCAGGTTTATGTGAATTGTAAAAAAAAAACTTGTTGTAAAGTTTGTAGATGGAAACTGTAATAGTAATTTTCAATCAGAAAATTCAGTGATGATTTTTTGCTGAGATTGTTCAGTTTAGTGATTGTAATGACTACCCTAGTGTGAGTTTAAATTTATTTACTGCTTCACTACATAACTTTCATTATTGTTGGGAGAAACATAAGGACTCGTTTTTTGTCATGGAATGAAGGTACTGTATAATTGAGTTTGACTTTCTTAGATAAAATATGGATTAGAGAACAGACTCTGCCTTGCAGCTTATAAAACACCACCTGTCGTAGCACTCTACCTTGTAGCGGTGTATTGTCACAAGTACAGTCTCTAACAAAAGTCCTGTTGCTTCTTCTGCTACTCCATAAAAGGACATTTTCCTAAATTGTATTCTGTATCTATTCAATTTAATTTTCAGCCTTTCAGAAAGTACATTTAGATGCATTGGTAAAATCAAGTTATAGATTGTTAATTATCCCCCACATTCTAAAATTTTTGATCATGCGTCTGTAATGAGTTGTTACACTGAGTCAAAGATTCATGGGTTTTACTGAACTGTTTCATAGTAGCACAGTGGGGATCTGTTGATGATAAGGCCATTTGGTGTTGAGAAGCCATCAGCCATCACTTCTTATATCACTCTGCAGGGACTAGATTTAATTAGTTTTTGTACTCAAGATATTATTAACACAACATTACCGTGTGATACCTATATGGGCCACTTGTTATCAGTGTACCAGGGTTAGTGACCTTTAAGTTAGTGATTTCAAGATTTCAAAGGAACCATTAAGCTGGGTAGCTCTACAAGCTTAGAAGGGGGGGTAGTTAGAGAGACACAGACAGAGATGATTTCAGGAACCAAGATGTGTTCAAATCATATGACCTAAATCAACTAACACTGGATAGACCAATTGCCCAAAGAGCTAACAAGCTAATAATCTACAGAATGAGGTCAAAATCATGGAAAAATCTTTGTTGAACCGATATGACCGAGTCAAAGTTCACACACCATGATAGGGACTTGCTGATGGTAATTCTTAACTTGGTTTTTAAAGTGTTCATACATCTGCACAGTTTCACCAACACAATAAAAATGAACGACAAGATCCTGTTGCTGCAGAAAAAATTGGTGGTATAGTGTTGCGTTGGTGTGATTACCTGGGACTATGTCATACATCGTTTTCTGTGCTTTTAGTAGTTTATCCAAATGTATTGAGATGACTTGTACAAATGTAACAAATGTGTTTGCGTTGTGTGGCATTTAAGGAGGAAGACCAGGCAGGGGAAGCATAGGTGAGCTTGAGAAGTATGAATGTTGAGTAAACACTGAGGAATTCTGGCACAGGAACTCCGAGGGACTTGAGTCGGCGGAGGAGGTGGAGACGGAAACTGGAGGAATTGACAACTTCACTGAAGAGCGTTTTCCAATTTAGTTTATTATCTATAGTGATGCCGAGGAGCTTAGTGGAGCCTACAACCTGGAGTGTGTTGGGGCCTAAAGTAATGGAAGGGGTGGGACAACGTCGGAGGAGAGGTTGATGTGCATAACCATGGTCTTGGTATGGTTGGTGGTGATGCGGTTGTTAGTGGCCCAATTTTAGAGACTGTTCAATAAATCCAGGAGGGCTGTACAGTCGGGAGCGGAGTTGTTGACACTGATCCCAATGGTGGAGTCGTTGACATGTTTCCAGCGAGCAGGGGTTTCTCTTAGGGCTTCATTGATGAGCATAAGGAAGCAGAGCGGTCCCATCTTGGTGCCACAAGTGAGTGACTGAAAAGTAGACACATCTCCTTGGAAGCGTACGGCTTGGTGTCGGTCACTAAGGAAGTCTGTAAGTCATGGTATAAGACTTCTTCGAAACCCGAGGTCTATAGCTTTGCTGGTGATTAAATCATGGTCGACTATGTCAAATGCTTTGGTGAAGTCAATGAAAGCGACAGCCACAGACGTTTTTCGTTTTTCCAGATGGCGGTATATGTAGTTGAGAAAGCTGACAAGACAGTGAGTGGTGGAGGAAGTTTTCATATTGCCATATTGCCGAGGATCTATGGCACCTGCAATAAGCCCTGTCAAACACAAAGTTTTCACAGATTAAGCTGGGTATTGGGGTGATTGCAATGGGTCGTAGCTCATTTAAGGATTGTGGGCTGGTTGACTTGGGCACTGGTGACACATATGAGGTCTTCCAGTCAGCTGGGCATCTTATTTGGCTGAGGGAAGCATTGATGATGGAGCAGAGGGGTTTAGCTAGTTCCGGGGAGAACTCCTTGTAGAATTTGATTGGTAAGTCAATGGGGGTGGTGGAGCTCTTTAACTTCAGTTTGTCCAGACGTTTTGCAACTTCAAATTCTTCTACTAAGTCAGTGGGAAAGGGGGTTGATAGATAAGCAGGGAGATTGGTTGTGTCAAGCCGGGGGAGTGTCTGGCACATATTTGCGAAATGGTTGTTTGATTGCTCATCTGCTTCACCATTAGTGAGATGGCTAAGGAAGGGGAGGGAGTGTGTCTTATTGTTTAGTCCACAGAGTTCTTTAAGCTTACCATACCACTGACTGTTGTTGGTCTGCTTCAGGTGTTGCAACTTGGTTGGGTACAGAGTAGTGGGGCTTCTTTGCGGTGCGTATTTCGCGGATGATTTAGTTGCGAAGGGACCTGTAGCGGTTGTGGTCATTGAGATAAAAGGCGCTGTCTCTCTGTTGCATAAGTCTTTTGATCCGAGGTGTGATCCAGGGCAAGTCACCTGGGTGTGATCTGACAGACTTCTCGGGGAAGAAGTGGTGATGAGCTTCCGTGGTGGTGTTGATATATTTTATCCTTTTGGTATCCACGTCATCCTCACTAGGTACTTCAGTCCAGGGATGGTGAACTATCCACTGCTCAAAGAGACGCACTGCAGAGTCAGTAATCGACCTGTAGGTCTTGATGTAGGGTCTCTGTATTTGGCTGGTAGTGGCAGCTGGAGACCAGAGCACTGGTAGGTGTGTGCTACACTCGATAGGAGGCATTGGGTGTGGTGGTTGGTACTGGTCCGCTAAGTCAGTTAAAATAGGGTCAAGGGTATTTTGACCGTGTGTGGGGAAGTTCAAAACTTGTGATAGTGTGACAGCTGGTCCTGGATATTAGTGGTGTCAATTTCGTTGTCAGCCCCGCGTAATACTAGCTTGGCACATGGGTACCTAACTCTGAGGTGGTAATGAGGTGATTGATAAGAGTGTCACTGGTGGGTGAGTGAGGTGGATGGTATACCACATAGTATATGATAGAAGCAGTGTGGCGTGGATGGGCCCGTGGCACAACCTGTACCCATAATGCCTCTACATCAGCTGGGACTCGAACATCCAGGCAAGACGGGGGTGTGTGTATCTTAGTGTTGTGATAGCCTCTGTCAACATATTAATAGTAGTAATCATATGAATGGGCTATTCACATACAGTATAACTAACACTAATTGAATTAACAAGATAAACAGCAACTAAGCATACCTTATCGCATCCATCTCACGTGCTATATGACATTTTCATGTCCTCCACACACCATGTGCCCAGTCCTCAGCAGACTTAACCTCGATAGATTTGTTAAAGGAACTCAGTAAATTACCTCCTATATTCTCTCTTGAAAGGGTGGTTGCTTTTTATCGGTTGAGTTGGTATTGATATTCATAGAGTGTGCTATATTTTGGTAAATAATTAGAAAACCCATTTAGTGTTTGTGTGACTATAAAGTACAGTTAAACAAATTTTACTTTTTACTTTTATCTTCTTCGCCACTGATCTCCTTGTTAGCTGCTTGGGCGGTCAGTCACATCTCTGTTATGCATTGTTGGCAAGCACTGGCCATGCACCGGCTCTTGAATGTATCTGTACCTGTGCCAGTGTTGCGTTGGTCAAGCCTGGTCTTGAAAGAGCTCACACTCGGTATTGTCACAACACACACTGGCAGAAAGTTCCAAGAGTTTACAATAAATTGTAACTCCAAAAAAAGTTTGCCCTCACAATTTTCTGGACTTTTGGCTTCTACAACCTTGAGCTGTGACCCCTTGGGGAGGAGGCCACCGTCAGCTCCAGGTATGGACCCTCGACTTAGCAGTAGTGCCCTCTGAGATGTTTATAAACTTCAATTAGGTCACCCCTTGTCCATCTGTAGTATTAGATAGGCAGTTGTAGGCGTTCTAATCTCTCTTGATAACTGAGGTGCCATAGTATAGACACCTCTCTGGTGGCCCTCCTTCGGATATTTTCAATCAACTGACAGTCTTTAGCATATTTTGGGGACCAGACGGGGTGACAGTACTCCAGATAGGGAAGCACCTTTTTATATGACCTACTACAAGAGTTACAAGGTACCTGTTAGAGGGAACACCAGATAGTACAAGGCAATTAGTAGACCAGATTACCTGACATTCCATAACTAATTCAGTGTGTGTTTTTGTGTATGTATGTTAGTGTGTGTTAATGTGTATAATAATAATAATAATAATAATAATAATAATAATAATAATAATAATAATAATAATAATAATAATAATAATAATAATAATAATAATAATAATAATAATAATAATAATAATAATAATAATAATAATAATAATAATAATAATAACAATAATAATAGTAATTAATGGATTATTGAAAAAGTTCAGCTGCCTGAAGGCTAAAAATATACATTGGACAGAAATGACTTATTACATACAAAGACATGGGGTGGGTGGATCGCTTAGCAAAAGCTTTCATTACTGAAAGGAGAAGGAAGATGAATTGAACATACAAATTAAAGTTTACAGTTGAGGACAGGGGAGGGTCTCTTGTGAGGTCACGCGGTGCAGTAACTCGTGTGTGATGAGAACCTTTACTTGAATGTTGTTGATCTTCAGAACCCTAATTAAGTAGGAATATGTACAGAATGATTCTTATCTTTATCACTTAAGTACAGCACTGTACAGTATAACTATTTGCAGATGGGTGGCAAAAATGCTGCTGTCGTGTTCAGTGACTGTGATTTGGAGTCTTGTATAAATTCTCTTAAGCGGGGCTCCTTCATTAATCAAGGACAGGTTGGTACAGTATATCTTAATTACACATTTTGTTCACATTTTTGTATGAAAGGCTTATTGAAACTCGGTTAAGTGATTGTACAATTTTATCACTTAAAGCCAAAACCTCTAAGCTACAGCATAATCTCTCAAGTTTACCGGCACTGTACACACTTAGCAAAATGGGATAGCTTTTGTCAATTTCACTTAAAGGTCAGTGTGTGTGTGTCAGGTTCAGAAATGTCATTGTTTGCAATGTTACAGTAAATTTAGGTGAAAGAAATTAAAAAACATTTTATTTTTTATATCTTGGTGATATTATTTGAAGTGTTTTTGATGCCTTTCGTGATCAGCTATCATTGCAATTAATCATTGTTAAAGTCATTATTTTCTCAGCCAATTCATTTATATTCCTAGTAAATAAAAACCAATCAAAATTATTCCAGTTGAAATTTCTCTGTAGTTGAAACATCTGAGACAGGTGTTTGTAATTGCTGTCTCTTATTTTTATCTTTAGTTACTATTTTTTTTTAATTTACTGTGGATTTATTTTAATATTTGAGACAAATAATAATTTTGCTGTAACCTTTTACTTTCAGTGCTTCAGTACCTTAAAAATGAGATACATTTTACTTGTACTGTACTTGCGTACATTGACATTTGGATACTTTTACTTCTACTTGAGTAATATTTTGCCAATGTAACAATGTAACTTTTACTTAAGTAACTAAGTCCAGTACTTTTACAACTCTGGTAAACTTGTCATAAAAGGTTTACAATTGGATAGGCCTGTATATACAGTAAACTATGTACCTATAGTTATACAGTTCAACATGAGTATAGACAATATATATAGGTACTACTGTACACGGTGTACATAGATTGTGGGAGTATAGTTTTCTTTGTGCCTAGACATTGCAGGTATATAACAATGGTAAACAGTAAATTAATTTGACCAAGGACAGCTGACAAAGTTGTCAGGTACACTACTGAATTATCTATTTTCCCTATTCCAGGTGTGTTTATGTACTTCAAGGATATTTGTACAGCGATCACTTTATGAAGAGTTTTTAGAGAAGTTTGTGGCTGTGACCAAGTTAGTATTAATTTCCATTGAATAAGTTGGAGTAGATGGAGTACAGTATGTGCATATGTGGAGTACAGTATGTGCATGTGTGGTGTACAGTATGTGCGTGTGTGGAGTACAGTATGTGCATGTGTGGAGGACAGAATGTGCATGTGCAGTGCCATTTGAAAATTTTATTATTCAGTATGCCTTGACCCCCTTCAGTATGGGGACACCATTTTTAATATTTTATTTGGCCAACACCAGACGATGTTGTTTTACTAAGAGGTGACCCCATACACAAGGGGTTAAGATACTGTATATTTATTTGATACTAATTTTTTTACAGGGAGCTGCGGGTAGGAAATCCATCAGATGAGAGTGTGTTCATGGGGGCACTCAACTCTAAACCTCACCTTGAGAAAGTTCGCTGCTATGTTAAGTATGCCATAGAGGATGGTGGCACAATAGTGTGTGGGGAGACCATTGATAGCTGTGTTCTCTCAGAGGAAAACAAGAATGTAAGTAGTAATTGTTTTTGAACTCATAGGTGGGATTTACATTCAATAAATAAGTCTCCAGGGGTGTAGCGGGCAAGCAAATACATCACTTTTTTCATGGCCAAGTGTTGTCTGTCACTGTATGTGCATCAGGATAATCCAGTTCACCCATCTGTGAGTGGGTACCTAACTTTACAGTTGAGGAAGTGTGGTGCTGATCACACTGCTTCCATGTGTATTAAAATATGCTTAGCTACATTATACTATATCCACACTGCTCTATTAGGACCCATTTTCAAGTCTCCATCCTAGAACTTAATTTTTTATGCATTTTTTGTCCCATACACCTAGACTAGGGATGATGCCTTAACAAGTACCGACTGTGGAGTAGCCGTATCCATTTGTCAATGAAGAGAGATTTTATTAATTTTTCAACTGATATTGATGGCATCTTTTGAGAAAATAAGTTACCCTCTTCTTGCTTGAAGACTGAATATTTGTCATGCAAACAAATACGACTAGATTATAGATATTTTCTATTTCTATTGGACTAGATTTTTTCCTCCATATCTGAGGTTAAACAGGAGAGGTCATAGAATGCTAAGAATGGGGGGATCCTCACCACTTCAGTCATTCAGCATCATAATAGGAGAAGCTTATAAATAAATGCTATACTATACTGTATATGCCCACTGGTTCTTTGACTACAAGATCATTACATACAGGGGTGAAACATGTGGTGGTTGACAGAAGTTAAGAAAAAAATCTCAGAAATTGAAGTGATGTTTTGCAATAAATGAGCAGGACAGAAGGATGCATTATACTGCCAGATCTGGGGTCACTAAATCTAAGGGGATAATTTAACTCTAATCTTAATGTCTAAGGGTCGCTGCCACCAGACCCCCTCTGGACAGCATGTAGCTCGTTAGGTAGCGGGCAGAGCGGACTAGGCATTGGGTTAGGTTTTCCATTGATCAGATCGATAAGGGTAAAGAAGGGTGAAACCATAACATGTCTTCATTGATTTATTTCTTATAAAACACACTGGTAAAAAAAACACATACAACCACACTGTGGACCATAATTCCAAGGCCTGTCCCAGGGTATAACACTGGCGCCTCTAACAACTGTTGTTGTGGTCGGTTACACTCCGACCCGAGATGGGTTTGGGGTCCTTGGCCCACGAGGTAGAGTAGAGCCGATTAATCATGACGAATCAGCGCCATCACTCCTATATTGACTACTGCTGGGTATCCACCGGCTCCGAGCGACCGGTGGGTTTCAATTAAGCCCACCCTTGATCTGGAGATAAACGGGAATCAGCGTCAGGGAACCGAAACATGACAACACCAACAAACTCTCTTGTCCAGACGACAGACGCATTTACGTTATATTACTTCTACACTGGGTGAATGACAATTCAACTGTTAAATCATGAACACTGGTGAACACTGATAATCACTACAATTGACTGAATTAACTGAATGGCTAGGAAACACAGAACATACCTGGAGATAAACGGGAATCAGCGTCAGGGAACGCTGATTCCTCACCAGCTCGAGTTTATATACCCCTGAGTTGCCAGTGATCGCCACTCACACAATGACCATAATTACAAACAAACTAACTGTTACTCATTCAAAGACGACCCTCAGTTGACAAAGGTCTGGCGAATTACTTGGGTTGATTTACACAGACTAATTCAAGATTGAGCTTCCCAGGAGAAAGTGGAATAAACAACGCATTGATAACTGTCTTCACAAAGGCGGGGCTTACTGAGGGATCGCGAGGATAAACACGCACCAGAGATTCTACAAGCGCGGTGGATTTGAATATTATGTAGCGTAATATGAATTAAAACGGGTTTTTAGGAATGACAATGAGCTGCGCAGTACAGCATGCTAGGTCCAGGAATCGCATGGTGTTTTAAATGAGTATGTCCAATCCAATAGTGGCTTAAATTTTGCTGCATTGAATCTGCTGATCCTATAGCGATCCAAATAACCCGACATATAGTGATCCAAATGACCCTACATATAGCGATACAAATGTTCCTATTGTGTTTCAAATGATGTACTGATTCAAATGATCATGTGGTAATCTGAATTATTTGATTGTGGTCCAAATGAACCTGAAGTGTCCTGTGGGAAAGTATTTCTTGTAACTCGGTTTTATCACCAATGGTTGGTTATTTTGCACCATTCGCATTTCCCTTGTTATACTACAGTATAATATACCATTCTTCCCATATTTATTAAACATCCACTTGAAACCTGGCTTCTCCATTATTTTAGGGATATTTCATGAGGCCAACTATTATCACTGGATTGAGTGATGACTCCCGCTGTATGCAAGAAGAGATCTTTGGTCCAGTAACATGTGTTGTTCCCTTTGACACTGAGGAAGAAGTGATTACTCGTGCCAACAACACATCGTTTGGCTTGTGTGCATCAGTGTGGACCTCCAACTTAGGACTGGCGCATCGTATGGCTCATAAGCTGAAGGTGAGATGTGACTTTTGAATTGTAAAGTTAGTGAACTACAATTATACAGCTTTAACTAAGAAACAAAACTCACTTTTGTTGAGTAGCTTTGTGGTGTCAAAATGTATTTCTTTTTAATTTAATTTATTTTCAAAATATATTTAGAAGCTGCATGATAATTTTCATATTTATTACAGTACAATATTATCATATACTAGTTCAATGACATAAGTTTTGTGTTTTTTTCATCTTTCTCCAGAATTATCTTATTTGCCTAATGGTCACCCAACTAGTGGTGGCCATGCCAAGGGTAGGAGGCTCGTGGCCTGTGCAGGCTCCCTCTATTGTTCTTGACAACTTCGTCTCGGGTTATTTTCAAGCCCATTACTGCTTTTAATTCCACATGTTGAGCTGTTAGACTGTTGTATTGATCTACCAGCCTCTGTGTGAAGAAATATTTCCTTATGTTCACTCTATATGATAACTTGGCAGCCTGTAGTTATGTCCCCTCGTGTTGGTGGTGCGTGACATCCCAAAAACATGCCTCTATGTCTCTGCCTTATTTTTTTTCTTTTCTCCTTTAGGGAGAGACATTTCATATATTCTATATGATTTTATACAAATACAGAACTGTATGTATATCTTTCTGAATATATATTCGCATCAATATATGTTTTATCCTTTAAAGGTGGGGACTGTATGGACCAACTGCTGGGTTATACGAGATATTGATATGCCTTTTGGAGGAGTCAAAGGCAGTGGGATAGGTCGTGAAGGCACGGTCGACTCCATGGAGTTCTACACGGAGGTCAAGACAATCTGCACTAAAATATCTTAAGGAGGTGATAACAGAATTGTACTTGGTGTGCATATGTAGAAATTGTCATCACACTTACTAGAATGACACTATGTAGATTGTAGAGTAAGGTAGTTAAATGGTGAAGAGTCTGTAATACAACAGTGATGGGATTGATGAATATAATAACTATGTTGATTGTTGTCATTAATAATTGTAGTAGATAAGAGATATATTGCCACTGCTTATTCTTGTACTGTAGGGGGTGTCCACTTGAAAGCTATACAGTACAACTTTGAATCCTGGCGTGTCCTCATTTTCAGCTTCTTGATTTTGGGGTTGCTCAGCTACCTGCAGTCACCTGGAACACACACACACCAAAAAATTTGATGTAATAAACTTTTAATGTTGCTTAACAATATGCAAAAACCTGCACAAAATTATACAATCCCTTTTGGAAGTTATGCTTGTTCAGAGTTATCAAGGGTTCATGTGGACACCCTGTATTGTTCCTTAGTGGTGGCTTGAGAAAATATTAGTAGAAAAAAGTTGAAATTAACTCATTTTAAAAGGAATTAGTGGTGAATTTAAATGTTGTGTTTTGTCAAGCTGTTCTATGTTTGAACAGTACTGATAAGTAGGAAAAAAAATTATGTATATCTTACACTGTGGAGCATATTGGTAATGAGTTAGTTAATGATAGTCTTAGATTTTATTATGTTTGGTGATGGGTCAGTTCCGTGCCTGGGAATTTTATTTTGTGTAAATTGAGAGCTAATGATTTCTTTATATTTGAAGTCACAATAATATGGTTTCTTAAAGTCATGTAGTATATAGTTAAAGCATATGCAATAATTAAAAATGCCTGCTTTAGTCTCTATAATTAATTGTCACACTTATTATTCCATTTTGTGGTGGATGTGGACATAGTACAGGAATAACATTTTTTTATTTGAGGATTGGATCTCAAATTACAGAACTTTATACTGTATTTGGTGGTGTTACAGGATATTGTAAAAATCTGTTATCATATACAACCTCAGATAATCCTTTACAATACAAACAAATGTGGAGAGAGATGTCGTGTTATTCATTACCTCTGTACGTTGTGGTTCCCAGATTATTCATTGGATGACATTACTGATATTCCTCTTGAACACCATATTATACAGTAGTTACCTCATTTTTCATTAGGATGGTGAAGTTACCATCCTGGACTAGTTGTTCATTGGTGCTGGTACTACAGGTAGGTCTAAATCCCCATTAAAGAGGCAGTGTGTAATTGATGTCCAGTGAGGTGGTAGTATGGTACCTGTACTAGCAGTATAACCATATTACCATTGACTCATAACAAAAACTCTACATGTTCACCAGTATCCAGACCATGAGAGAAGAATAGCCTATTTTATCTCAACCCATGTGTGATGTGTGACACCTTGCTCAGGTGGTTGATCCCGAAGGTAGACTCAAATATTTTCTATGGGGACTGGATTGTGGGTCATTTCCTTTCCTCTTTGACCTCTTCAGACCTCCATACAAAATAAATATGTTTGAAAAATATATACAGTAGACCCTTGCCATTCGCGAGAGATCGGTTCCATGAAATGGCATGAATTGGCACAACCACAAATTGCAACTTATACTACCTTAGTGCACTACTGTATACCTATACAGTAAGTCCTCGCTTAACGTCGGGGTTATGTTCCTAAAAACGTGACATTATACAAAACGACGTTAAGTGGATCAATTTTACCCATAAGAAATAGATAAAATACGGGAATTACGTTCCTGAGCCTCCCTTTGCCCCATGAAAAACATTACATATACAGAAAATCATTGCCATTTCTATAGAAAATATTATATAGATATATAACTATTAAGTTTGTGTTGGTACGCACCGATGGGCTGAGGTGGTGGAGCGAGTGTGAGGTGGGTAGTGAAGCGTAGGAGACGGGAGCTGAGGCGAGTGGTGAGTCACTGAGACTGCAGCTGCCTCCTCCTCCTCCTGCGCTGACTGAGGTTCCTCCGCCGCTGTTTGCTCCTCCTCCGTTGAAGTTTGCTCCTCCTCCATTGTTGTTTGCTCCGCCTCGGCTGCCATTTGTTGTGAAGAAGCTGCTTCTGCCGTCCTGCAACGAACAAATGACTCCAGTGTTGACTGCTTGGTGCTACTCTTCTTCTCTTTATAGATCTCAGTGTAACAACCAAGACTGTCATCAATGCTGCGTTGAACCTTTGAGCTATGCTCTCTGTTTGGGTCGTCATCTATAAGGATTTGCATTGCTTGCTGGAACATGTTGAACGATTCTGCCATCCTCTTGGAAGTTAGCGTTCGTTGAGGTTCTTCTTCTTCGTCGTCGTCGTCTTCAACAGGACTGTGTTCTGTTAGATGTTGCAGATCTTCGTTGGTGAGCTCTTCTGTATGGGATGCCAGGACGTCCTCAATATCCTCTAATTCCAGCTCATCAAAGCCTGTCTGTCTAGCCAAGCTGAGGATATCCCCATTCACAGCTGGGACTAAGTCTGGTGAGCCTGTCCAGCATAATATGTAAAGTACTTGAGAGTATTATCAGAGATGCCGCAATGGAACATCTAATATGAAACAACCTTGTAAAAGATTGCCAACACGGTTTTATGCCGGGGCGCTCTTGCTTAACACAATTGCTCAAGGTATTGGATATTTGGACCCATATTCTGGAACGGGGTGGTAATATCGACAATATTTACCTAGATTTTGCCAAAGCTTTCGACAGTGTACCCCACGATAGGCTGAAAATCAAACTGGAAGGCTACGGAATTCGGGGAAATGTCCTAGCGTGGATAGAAGACTTTCTACATGATCGCAAACAGTGTGTGGTGATTAATGGCACGAATTCGTCATCTGTACCTGTCACAAGTGGGGTACCACAGGGCAGTGTATTGGGCCCACTGTTGTTTGTTTGTTTCATAAATGACATGCCTAACGTTGTACACTCCTCCAAACAAATGTTTGCCGATGACGCCAACGAGATGAAGAAACTACACTAGTTGAGACTGTGTGTGAGAAGGACCTAGGTGTGTATGTTGACAATGAGCTGAAGTTCTCGGGCTATTGTGAGAAGAAAGTAAATCAGGCAAATAAATTATTGGGTCTTATAAGAAGGTCGTTCAGATATCTAGACGATCCGTCCCTCGTAACGATCTTCAGGAGTAAAGTGCTTCCCCATCTGGAGTACTCTCACCCCATCTGGTCCCCGAGATATGCTAGGGACTGTCAGTTGGTTGAAAATGTTCAAAGGAGGGCCACCAGTCTAGTGCCTGCACTTCGGCACCCCAGCTACCCTGAGAGATTGGAGCGCCTGAACTTGCCTTGCTTAATATTACAGACGGGCAAGGGGGGACCTAGTTGAGGTGTATAAGCATCTCAGGGGGCACTACTCAGTTGAGTGTCCTTACTTGGAGCTGGCGGACGCTCGCCCCACAAGGGGTCACAGCTCAAGATTGAAGAAGCCGCAAGTCCAGAAAACCGTGAGGGCAAACTTTTTCGGAGTGAGGGTTGTAAACTCTTGGAACAATCAACCAGAGAGTGTTGTGACGGCACCGAGTGTGAGCTCTTTCAAGACAAGACTTGACCAACACTGGAGCAGGTTCAGGTACATTCAGGAGCCAGTGCATGCCCAGTATTTGCCAACAGTGCATGACATAGACGTGACTGATCGCCCGGGCGGCTAGCGAGCCGATCTTTTGGTGAAGAAGATAAATGAAAAGAGACGTGACCGATCGCCCAAGCGGCTCACAAGCCGATCAGTGGCGAAGAGGATAAAAGTAAAAGTACATGATGATTTCGTGCCATAATCACCACACACTGCTTGCTGTCATGTAGAAAGTCTTCTATCGACGCTAGGACATTTCCCTGAATTCCGTACCCTTCCAGTTTGATTTTCAGCCTTTCGTGGGGTACACTGTCGAAAGCTGGCGGATGCTCGCCCTACAAAGGGTCACAGCTCAAGATTGAAAACTGTGAGGGCAAACTTTTTCGGAGTGAGAGTTGTGAACTCTTGGAACAATCTGCCAAAAAAGTGTTGTGACGGCACCAAGTGTAAGCTCTTTCAAGACCAGACTTGACCAACACTGGAGCAGGTTCAGGTACATTAAGGAGCCGGTGCATGTGTGGGGTATGGGATATTTGGGTTCACACTCAGGATGGGATGGAGAAAGGAAACTCACAATGTGCTCTCTGTATACATGTTGTATTGGATGTACAATGCAGCTTGGTGCTGGGAAGTGGCAGCGTGGTTACAAGCGTGATGTAGAGAGAGCTGGTTGGTGAGGATGCTCAGAGGAGGACAGCTTGTGGGTCGCCATGCTCGCCGGCGGGAGCGAGGGCCGCCAGGCAGCGGTGGAGGAGGAGGAGGTGTTGCTTGCTGCGGCTGTAGCTAGAAGAAGAGAGCTGGTTAGTGAGGGTGCTCAGAGGAGGACTAGCTTGTGGGTTGCCATGCTATCCGGCGGGAGCGAGGACCGCCAGGCAGGCGGAGGAGGAGGAAGTGTTGCTTGCTGGTTGGTGTAGGTAGAAAAGAGAGAGGTCACCACGAGGTCAGGTCTTTTATAGCGGAGGTAGGCATGGGTAGATAGTTGACCCCTGCTCCGTGGGCGGCGCGGGTTGACCTAGACCACGAGGCATACACTGTGGAATTCGCGGGGTCGGCTACTCAGCGACAAACAGCGTTTGTAGGGGAGAAATCCACTAAACATGCCTAGTACTTGCCAACAGTGCGTAGCAGAGACGTGACCGATCGCCCAAGAGGCGAACGAGCCGATCAGTGAAGAGGATAAAAGTTAAAAAAAAGTAAAAAGTGTGTTTTTCGAAAAAAAAATTTTTAATTCTTGGTTATATTTACGTCATGTCGCATGCAAGAAATAGCTAGCTTTTTGGGTTCCAATCTAGCGGGTTTTCTAGGCCTGCCGCCTGTCTAGCGGGATTTAAATTACCTCGATGGCAACACTGGATCACAGGTATTATCTATCTTACTTTTACTTTTATCCTCTTCACCACTGATCGGCACGTTTCAGGTGAGTAAAGACTGCATAAGTTTTTAATTTAACAAATTTATTGGCAGAGCTTGTAGTACAGTTTGCCTATTCTGAGTAATTCAGTCAGGACAGAGGTTCACACACAAAGAGAATACATCATATTCATTAACAACCATAAATGTATATAGGTCAGATTCATGTGGGTAATGTCACTTTTCACTGCCATACAGGACAGAGGTTCGTACACAAAGAATGCATCATATTCATTGACACTATATAGAGGTCAGATTCATGTGGGTAATGCCACTGTTCACTGCCACGCAGGACAGAGGTTCATACACAAAGAAATACATCACATTCACCAGCAGCATATATAGGTCAGTGGATCACATACATTGGAGTCATATTCTAATTGAAGACTAATCAGTGTGGGCTAGCAAATTTGGGATAAACAGCAAGAATGTCCTCAAGCACACCTGATTCAATGAAGTAATTACATAGTTCAAGATACAATAAGTCAGGTGGACTGCATAAAATATATGATAGATTATCATGTATCAGCCTTGGTCCTTTGTGAGAGGAAAGGCATTAACAAACTTGAAAAATTTAAAATAAACCCTTGTATCACCTTAGACTGTCCAAAAAGTGCTTAATATGAGGAAAGAATCTAATGTTAGAGATAGAATTATTTAAGTCAACCTCATGATAACCTTGAGGCCTTTGCGTGGTGAATCAAAGGTATTATTGCGGTCCGACTAATTACCCAAATGTAGCCAAATATAGCCAGAATGAAGTCAAATAATGGTCCTACATGAATAAATCGGACTGCGAATCACTTCTCGACTAGTATTTGGTGTCACAAAGTCACAAAAAATTGGAAAACTTACTTTAATCTGAGTTAATAGATCGCCTGCATGTACCGACGGAGCGAGGAATTACCCAAATGTAGCCGCAATGAAGTAAAATTATGGTCGTACAAGCGTAATTCGGGCTGTGAATCACTTCTCGATTATTATTTGGTATCATAAAGTAAAAAAAAATTGGTAAACTTAATTTAATCTGAGTTGTGTTGTGTTAGATTAGGTTAGGTTAGGTTAGGTACATGCACTTGATCTATTAACTCAGATTAAAGTAAGTTTTCCAATTTTTTGTGACTTTCTGACACCAAATACTAGTCGAGAAGTGATTAGCAGTCCGATTTATTCATCTAGGACCATTATTTGACTTCATTCCGGCTATATTTGGCTACATTTGGGTAATTAGTCGGACCCGTATTATTGCGTATACACACCGTTCATTCCTACCACTAATCTATTATCATATTCGAATAAGATGTCTAATTATAAGATAATTTCATCTATTACAGTACCGGCGGAAATGTATAATAACGGAGATAGCTTTTCCCCCCAAAATTCTTTTTTCTTCATAAATCATGACGCTCGCGTACCCGTACACGTCACGCGGCCAATCAAAAGCGTTTTTGCTTTTGGAACTAATTAAAATGGTTTTGGGTTTAATTCAGAGTATATATGGCCCACTCAAAATCGAGTTTTATTTTGGGTCTCATATTTTGAAATTCAAGTTCAGTTCCGACCATGGAGGTCTGTGATGGATGTCACTTAAAGTATATGGAGCTGATTGCGAGTTTTTGGAAAAAAATCGTAGAAACTAAAGAATTTTTTCGATCGCATGGTGTTCTTCCAACCTCAGTAAAGTGTACTAAGAGCAAGACAATGTAAATATCGCAAAGACCAACATATGGGGCGTTGGGTAAGAATCCCAGAATGTAACGACGAACAAGAACCTGGCCAATAAGGTAAGAAATAGGTGATTCCATCATATGGTGAGAGTCAGTTAAGTTAGGTTAGGTTTTTGTTTTTCTAGTGTCTTTTTATTTTTTTTTTATTTTTTAGTCGCTTAGCCACTTTTTTTTGGAAAACATCAAACGAAAAAAAATCGCGAAAAAACCTTGGCTAATTTCCGCCAAAAATTAAGGTCATATTCGGTCTAAACACACACAAATACACTAGAAAAATATATTTATTACTTGCTAAAAGTGAACGGTGTGACAATGCAAATTTACTGAATCAAATAACCTACCCCCCCAAATAACGGTATTATTTTACTTTCGGTCATCCTGGGAATCTTAAGGGGGGGGGGGGTTGGCCCCCCAATTAAGTTAGAAAGAGGTTAGGTTAGGATGAGGTAATTATATAGGACTAACCCGTGAGCAAAATTGATTGAAAACAATTATAAAAATGCCGAATTTTCATTGTTATATTTTAGTGGACACTGTTGTAGTTTCTGGAAATATGTTAAAAAATTAATATTTTTAAAATAAATGCTTCTCAACATTTGTTGCTATGAAGAACAGACCTAACCAACCAAGCCAAACAAACCTACCTAACCTTACCGGTATGTTAAACAGAAAGAACTTACTATGATATGGTGAAATTTGAGGCATTTTCTGGATGTCAGATGATACAACCGCATCGGCGCTATGCAGCCCTTGCTGGTTAGTCCTATATATTAACCTAGGATGGTTAGGATAGGTTAGGATGATTAGGTTAGGTTAGGATGGTTAGGTTAGGATGGTTAGGTTAAGTTGGTTAAGTTAGGTTGGTTAAGTTAGGTTGGTTAAGTTAGGAGGGTTAGTTTAGGTTAGGATGGTTTGGTTAGGTTAGGATGGTATGGTTAGGATGATATGGATAGGTTAGGATGATATGGTTAGGTTAGGATGGTTAGGATAGGTTACACTGCATTAAGTTAGGTTTGGTTGGTTAGGTTACATTAGGCTAGGATGGATATTTTAATACATGGATGACCAAAATTATAATTTTACCCAAATAACTGATTAAACTCATTTTTTATTCCTAATACAGTGCCAAAGGCCCAAAGTGAGAGCTCTTGAATACATATTAAACTTTCAAACTGGATATACCATCACACACTTCAACTACTACAGGTATATACAAAAAAATATGATGGTTGCCCCTCGTGTAACGAGGATGGCCGGCCCAAGGGCCACCTAGGCGTTAATTTGTTTAAGGTGTCGCTGTCGCCAACACAACAGCCACACCCTAAGTTAACGAGTTCCATGACTTAATGTCGAGAAATAATGTGAGAAGACCGGTTCCCTGGGCAGGGTAAAATTATGGGCACGTTTCTTTACACCATTTGCCTCTGTCTACCCAGCAGTAATTGGGAACCTGGATATACGGGTATTAGAATCCCTACATCTGGTTTTGGATATTTGGGGGAAATAAACAAGTTTTCTTTTAGCTATAGGAAATTTGCCTAAAGTTGCTGGTTATATGGGGGCAGTGACCTAGAGTATTACTAAGCAGAAGATTAGGAATGATAAGAGTTTGACATTTCATGATTGGATTGGAGATACAGGGGCTAATTCATCTCTGATATCAGAATTAATAGACTTTGACATTTACTTCCAAAATTACAGTTGCCTTCAGAAATGCATGCACTATGTAAGCAAAGAATAATAATGGTTTAATCCATATTCAGGGTGTAAGACTAATTAAAGTACTGTAATCAGGACTGGTAATTTGTGTAACTTAGAGAACTACTGTATTGACATATCTAGGCTACAGTACTGTACTGTACAGTTAGTACAGTAATAAGGAAAACTTAATTCCCGAACATTGCCAATAGATGAACAAGCACAACTTCCTATTTAATATTTGAAAGGTATATTTGAGGCATTGCACTGCTGCAGAGCAGAACTTGGTAAGCACCAAATAAGAAAAGTGGTAAAAGATGTGGTCAATGCTATGCAACCTTAATTTTACCGTATATTTTTTACTAATAGTGATATCGATAATTTTTTGACACAGTGAAGCTTGGATACAATGTATATTGCAATACTTCAACTATTACATAAGCATTATGTAGTCATCCCCCTGATTATGCTGGTTAAGTGCTCCCCACAATGTTTATTTATAATTGTACTAGTAGATGAACTTTATTATTACTGAATTACTGGGTATGACCACTACCCTGGAACTGCAGCTCTATGCCTCTTCTGTCCTCTGGCCCACTCACGCTCCTCTACATCACTGTGGTCACTCAATGAACTCCTGATGATAATGCAAACACTCGTAGGAATGAATAATAATCCAGTTATGGTGTGGAAATGGTGGTGTGAGTGATGGGTGAAGAGATGGGAAAGGAGGGGGGAAAGTAATGTGGTGAGGTGAGCAGTAGGGAGGAGCATTGTGATTGGACCTGAGAGGTGGGAGTAGCTTGAGTGCTATTGGCTGGCTCTGTCCTGGGCACTTAACAAGTTCTGCTGGGGAAGCATTGTGTTGGGAGGGTTGAAAGCCTCAATGCAAAAGTGACATGCCTTAGATATAGGACTCTCTCGGTTTCACCTTTATGGAAAACTGTATTTCTTGTTATCTCCATATCTGGCCTCCAAGGTCACAGTCTGAGGAACACTGTACAATAGTGTAAAAATCACCTTATCGGGCACAGTGGATCTTAACAAGTGCTGCTGTGCAACTCCTCATATATAGTACTGTACAACGTTATCCCCTGTTTGTTGTGTAAAAGAGTTTTTATTAACTGTTCAGTTTTATTTTAGGTATCTACAAGAATCGGTTTAAAATGCTTTCTACACGTCCACCTCAGTTGAGTGTAGTTTTAAGATGTCTCTCAGCAAGTGGTGTACGATGGGTGACAACCACTTCACAAGGCTCCCAGCATTTGGCATCCCATCCAAAGACAGGTAGGATATGTCTGAGAATCTACAGCATATTTCTTATTGATTTAACTTATAAGTCTTATATGAATATATATTTTTTTAATTATAGGCTTATATTTTTAACTTGATACAGATCATACAGTATACAGGGGATCCCCGACTTACGAACATCCGCTGATACGAATGAGGTTAAACATTAAATGTACGGTATTTTATTTACCTGATGTCTTGTTTTTTTACTTTTATTAACTATATTCTTATTTTATCTTAAATTAAGTGATTTCAGATGTATATATAAGGACTTAGGCTATGATATAGTGGATTTTAAACATTGTTCTGTAATTAAGGTATGCACATAGCATGTGTTCCGACTTAAGAACGTCCTCAGGAATGGAACCCATTCGTAACCCGGGGACCCCCTGTACAGTATTGAATTACATGTACAGTACAGTGAACCCTCACTTTACGCGGTTAATTCAACCCACAGCGGCCCGAGTAAAGTGAGAAACGCTTAAAGTGAACAACATAATATATGGGATTAATTGAAATAGAGACCGGGCCGACCCCCAAACTCCACTTTTTCAGACACAATACCTATGTTGTAGTAAAAATAACTTCTTAATTTTATGATGGTATGCACACACAATTAATAATTAAGAGAAATATCAATAATATTAGGTTTTTTATCACTTACATTAGTAGAAAAGATGGCTGGGCACACGGGGATGGGGGGTTGGTTCCGAGGCAGAGGGCAGATTATTGGCCCTCACCTGTATCACTTGTATCAATTGTATCACTATCCACCACAGAGGCTTGCAGGGCCTCTTTGTCAAACCCCTCAAAGTCCATATAAGTCCATATCCTCACTATCATTATCACTGACTTGGGCCGGCTGTGGTGGGTGGCGGGTGAAGAACTCGGTAATGTTTTGATGACCTTGTGCGCACCCTGCTCGTGCTGCTCTCCGCGTAAAAGGGTACACACACCGCGGAAAGTGAGCATTCCGGTTTCGGCAGGGTACCGCGTAAACGTGGAAACGCGTAAAGTGGGACCGCGTAAAGTGAGGGTTGACTGTACCGTAATTTTATATCCTGATTTTAAATTTTGTGAACATTCTCAGTCCCTATCTTGTGAAATAACCCAGGGCTATTGTACATAAAATATAAGTAGAGTACAGTATTCTGTATATTTTTAGACATTTGAAACTGTCATTTGATACTGCAGGTGAGGTGAAAGTGTCCAATCCTGCCACCATAGAGGATCTTAAACAGAACCTCCGCATTCAGTTTTCCCGAGCAAAGTTGGGACACTTCACCCAGACACCACCATACCAGGATAATCTCTTTACCAACAATGCATTTCTCACATCTTATTTGACTCGGGTTTTGCCACAGCATGTGAGTACTGTACTGTACAATCATAATTCTTTGAGGTCAGTATTCAGTTGGTACTTAATGTATTGAGTATTAAACATGAAGAGGTACTGTACTAATTAGTTAATGGGTTTCACCAAAGCTTTCATAACAGTGTGGTAATTTAATATTTTGTTTCATCGTTGTAGGTCCGTGATGAAATATGGAGCGACCTGACACGATTTGGTCAGCGGGCGGTCACAGACATCTACCAGTTAGGGAGGGAGTGTGAGCTCAACCAACCTTATGTTCGAACATTTGATGCTTGGGGCAACAGAACAGATGAACTAGGTGTGAATACTGTATATTTTTTTGTTATTTGAACGATGTAAATGATAAAGCCTGAGGGAGTTTGAATCGTTCATTTTTCTCTTGAGAAGATTTGGAACTTCACTGAGTATTTATGGAATGTATTTAGTGAACAATGTGTTAAGTGCATTGTTTTTCTTTTTAAATGTTTAAGACAGATTTTGGTGATTACTGATCAAATAGGTTTACGGGCATTTACAAAATGCTGTGTACTGTATAATTTATTGGGAGTAGAATTTAGCTAAGAGAAAGAATGATTACAGTAGATCTTCTTCATACTTGATACCTACAACACTGACGTAAGACATATATTTTTTATTTTTTGGTACATTATCAGTTTCAAGTGATACAGAGAGTCCCCCAAATTCATGGGGGTTAGGTTCTCAAAATGGCCGTGAATCGCCAAATCCGCGAATAACATTTGCATAGTGAGGGGGTGGTACATTTTTACTTGTGTACAAAGAAATGTATATTCTCTTTATGTGTTTGCCCTTAGAACAATTATTTCTTTTACCTGTACTGTATTTTATATATGTGTGTGCGTAGACACACACACAAAACACATACAAATAAATAATCTTGCAAAAATTCTCTCATAAATAAATATAATCAGAAATAAATTTATTATAAATGTGACAGTATACCCTCAAGTCCGTGCTTTATTTATAAAGTAATAAAGTACAGACTTGAGGGCAGACTGTGCACATACAATACTGTAAACTGCAAACAAAATAATGTTTACTACTACTGTACTATACTGTATATACAGTACTATACACACCATTAGATGCTGTCGTCTTGAACCTACTGTAGAGTAGGCAAACACTGTCCACTCAACTGAATGTAACTGTAATCACGTGGTAACAATTGCAATGGAGGTCGGGTGGGGTATTAGTGGGACATGTTACTTACCTGACCTGATGCAATATCAGGCCACCAATTGTCGGGGTAGGGGATTAGTTGGTCTCATAACCTGAAGATGTCTTGAATAAAGATAAAGCTGAATGTACAGCACAGTATATGTAACTAATCACTTTTTACATTGTTAACACTGTATTCTTGGCTGATTTTGTTCGGGTACAGTATTGTACAGCACTACACGAACACAAATTGTTCGCAAAAACAGAAGTTAGCAAGGGAGCAAACCTTCTACAGTGGCAGCAGAATATGAACTCAGTGATCCAAGACATACCCGTGACAACAAGCTTATTTAACAATGAATTAATACAAAATCCCACCATCCACGCATATGAAAGTGCTATAATGCTGCCAGTACAAGCTGCTGTACTGCGCACATCATTGTCATTCCTAAAAACCCATTTTAATTCATATTACGCTACATAACATTCAAATCCACCGCGCTTGTAGAATCTCAGGAGAGACGTGTTTTTCCCATCCGTTTTACCCTCAGGATCACTCCCAGTAAGTCCCACCTTCAAACACAGTTGTCACTACCTTTATTCCACTCTCTACTGGCAAACGCAATCTTGAATTAGTCTGTGTAAATCGTCCTTAGTAATTCGCCAGACCTTTGTCAACTGAGGGTCATCCTTGAATGAGTAGCAGTTAGATTGTTTGTAATTTCTGTCATTGAGTGAGTAGCGATCGCTGGCAACTCAGGGGTATATACCAGTGCGAGGCGGGAGGACTAAACCTCCCGTATCACCTTTCATCTTCGTTCTCAGGTATGTTCTGGGTTTATAACCATTCAGTTTGATTCAGTCTGTTATAGTGAATATCAGTGTTCATCAGTGTTCATGCTTTAACAGTGGAATTGTCATTCACCCGGTGTAAGAAGTAATATAACATAAATATATGACGTGGCAAGACTAAAGATTTGTTTGTGACCCACCATGCTTCCCCAAAAAACCTCCCGCATCACCTTTCACCTTCGTTCTCAGATCGAGGGTGGGTTTAATTGAAACCCACCGGTCACTCGGAGCCGGTGGATACCCAGCAGTGGTCAATGTATGAGTGATGGCGCCGATTCGGCAGGATTAATCGGCTCCGCTCTACCTCGTGGGCCGAGGACCCCAGACCCGCCTCGTGTCGGAGTGTAACCGACCACAACAGCAGTTGTTAGAGGCGCCAGTGCTATACCCTGGGACAGGCCTTGGAGTTATGGTCCACAGTGTGGTCGTATGTGTTTGTTAATAATTACCCCATGTTGGGTAGTGGACCCATGTCGGTGTTTGTATCAGTATTAGTGTTTTGTGAGTAAGGACAAGGAACTGGCCCTGCTATGTAATGTAATGTGACACCAGTAAGAGTGTAATATCTGAGTAATTGATGTTGAGTAAATAAGAAAATAAGTAAATAAGGAATACAGAGTCTGCAATAAGCCCAGGAGTTGAGCCTGGAAGTTTGATTTTATATTAATAAACTTGTTCTTTGAGTATTTTAGGAGTATTCATTTCTCCCACAGTAGTTACCTTTATTTCCGTCCAAGTGACCCTGATATCAGAATTACACTACCCATATGCCTAGACCAGGGGTCACCAAACTTTTTTCACAGTGGGCCGGATAACTGAAAGAATGACGAGCGCGGGCCGCATAATCATTCTGTTCAGTACTTGCAAGCCAGAACGAAAGCTCTGGTAACGTCAGAGCGTAGTTTTGAGCTACCACGAGCCGGGGAAGGACTTGGGATCCGGCCCGCGGGCCGTAGTTTGGTGACCCCTGGCCTAGACCACTGACATGCTACCAAAATTAACTGAAGTAAGTAGAAAGAATAATTGAAAGAACTAAGACATGTTGTGGTTTCACCCTTCTTTCCCCTTATCGATCTGGTCAATGAAAAACCTAACCCAATGCCTAGTCCACTCTGCACACTACCTAACGAGTTACATACGGTCCAGAGGGGGTCTAGTGGCAGCGACCCTTAGAAATTAAGATTAGAGTTAAGTATTCCCCCTTAGAATTCGTGACCCCAGTCTGGCGGTATACCGCCATAATGCTATACATATCTACAAATCACGAATTTTCCGAGTAAATATACTGTACTAAATAATTTCCACAATTACTGTAAATAATGAGAGGCTTGTGGATAAAGAGGTTCAGTGTCAACAACTCTTGTACTGTACCACATTTTTTTCTTTGAACTAATTCAAGGTTATGCCACCACTAAAGCTGATATCTCTGCTCCTTGTCTGCTATAGCTGGGAACTTTATGCTCACAAATGCCACTACACATAGGTTTAGCTGTCTTCATATTTCTCGTAAACACTGTAGATCACATTAAAGGTAGACTCATGGGTTATTGATTGCAGAAGTGATCTGACAGTGGAAAATAACCTCTAGATAGTGACATGTGTGTATTTTGAAACTGAAGTGGATCACAGGTCAGTGAGGTCACCCATTTTAATAAACATTTAGTACTCAGGAAGTGGATCTCAGTTTACTTATTGGAATGAAACTTAAATGCATTCATGTTTTGCAAAATATAGTTAACCACCATTCTTATAAATATCTTTATTTTCCAAACTTTGTATATTTTTTATGTGAAGATTATTGTTGTAGTGCAATGAAAGTCATTTATATATTTATTTACAGTCACATGTCAGGCATGGAAGGACCTTAAGAAAATCTCTGCAGAAGAAGGTTTAATTGCTGCAGCCTATGAGGGAAAGTATAAGGAATATGATCGCCTTTATCAGATGGTAAAGCTATTCATATTTTCACCTGTATCGGGCCTGTACTCATGTCCCCTAGCAATGACAGATGGTGCTGCTAAAACAGCAAGGGTATGTTTCAAGTAGGTAATTTATACTGTAATATATCGTATTAAAGATTAATACATATTATATTTCCTAGTCTGTAGAAAGTAGCTAAGAGAACCTAGACTATTGAAAACTTCCTGCTTAAACATGCATTTTTTTTTCTTTTTAATCTGATGTGTCCTCTTGTGGTAAATTAATTTATCGGAATGTAGCAATGTGTTTTCATCATTGTAATAATTATTTCTAATTATCTTTCACAGATGATGAAGTCACCTCACCTGCAGGAAGCTTATGAGCATCTTACCTCACGAGATCCACAGCACTTTTGGACATCAGGGCAGTGGATGACTGAGAAGCGGGGTAAATTTTATTTATTTTTATTTATTTATTTATTTTTTATAACAGTGATCCTTGCTACTATATACAGCGGTTCTTGCTTAATAGGAGAGGCTAGGTTCTGTTAAGTATATTATCCTGTAGTCTTTTACTGCAGTTCATGGTGACCACAGTCACCTGTATCCATAATAGGTGTAAAAGAATACTGTAAAATGAACAGCCAAATAATGAGTAGATTTTATTCACCAATGAAATGATGATGAGCTTTGGAAGTGAAGGATTTAATGGCTTGAGGCCTCATTTGCCTCAAACCCATCGAAATCAAATTCCACTTAAAAACACTTCCACCTTTTCAAGATTAGGAATTTTCAAACATACTTGTGACATTTAAAAACTTGTCATTAACAAGATTCTTGTCCTCACTGCGCCAAATGATGCGTATACTCAACTCGACTAGTACAGTACAGGTGTATTATAATCTTCCTTCCTGATGGAGGATGTGTAGCTCATCAGAACACTGACTGTGGAGGTATTTGTTAATAAAAAACATAGTAAGGCATCAAATGAATGTTGAATGGTAGAGATTTTCTGGTTTGATCATTATTGTTGATTGTTTTAATGAGTTTATTATCAACCTAATTGAGGAGGTGAAGTTGCTGCATTACTGCACTGGGCCCACTATTGACGGTAGTATTTCATCTGGGAGAACATGACATATGTAAATGGTTGGGATGGAAGAATTATATTAAAAGCTTGGTTTTTAAAGAGATGCGAAATTTTGAAAACTTTAGCTGCCATCTTGCAGCCTTAAAAAATAGTGCCTTGATCGCTTGATATATGCAAATGTGATACGTAGGAAAAACTGCTCATTTTGTAACTTCAAATTCCAAATGTACTGTATGTCATATGCCGTACTTGGTCGTTTAATCTCGTCACCATATGATCTAATTTATAAATTAGGTCAGTGTTAGAATTGTTGAACTGTACTGCACATTGCTCTGAAAACTTACTAAACCATTTCAGGATCTGATCATTACTGGCTGTACCTTAGGAGTTAGTAGATATAATAAATTAATATACTGTGTAAAAAAAGATTCATAACGTGATCATAATTCAAACAATTCCTCATAGGTGGATCAGATGTCAGTGGTTCAACAGAGACAGTGGCACTGGCACAGCCTGATGGCACTCACCAACTCTTTGGATACAAATGGTTCAGCTCTGCCACTGACTCTGACATGACTCTTACCTTGGCTAATATCATATCTGAAGATCAACCAGAACCAGTAAGATGCAGATTATTAGAAGATTGTGTGTGCGCATGTGTTTGTGTTCATTTATCTGTGGGTGTGTGTGTTGCATTTTAATTCTGACATTAATAATAATGAGCAATGTAAACTGTAAAAGCTTTTGAGTTTATTACAGGTTCACCTAATACTGTAATGTATGTATGTATAAGATTTAAACATATACTGGATACTGTACTATCAGTCATTATCCCCAAGGCAGGAATTCTCCCCTCCTCAAAGGGAGTTCTAACTGGTGTTGTTCTTCTCTGTTGTGGGGGTCAATCTGACAGAATATTAGGGTTGTCACCAATCCAGAATCCTAGTGCTGGGTCTGAGAGTTTATCTTAGGCTTGGATCCTTTGATTCCCTTGATCCTTGAAAGACATTTGGGAGTTCCATTTGTGAACAGACCAATTTAATCAAAGTACAGGTTGTACCTCTCTAGTCCGGCAACCTCGGGACCTGACCGGTGCCGGACCATGGAAATTGCCGGACCATGGAAATTCACCCTTTTCCTGGATAGATAGTGACTTGTGCTTATGCCTGGCAGCACTAGCACCACTTTCTCTGCATCATGGTCTCTTTGAAGACATATTGAAGGGTTAAATGTCGTATAGTAGCTTCTCAAATTTCACGAGTTTTTAATTCTTAACGTATTTTATTGGAGAACACAAAAAAATAAATAAATACAAATTTTGACAGCGGAAACTTGAATTTCGACGGGTTTGAACGGCCCGCCAACGTGCAGACGACGTGCATAATCGTGTAAACAGCGTCATTTCTCTTGTGTACAAAAGATTCATTATTGTTTATTACTGAATGTCTTTTTTATTGAATTAATGTTTATGTGTGCAAAATGAGCTATACAATTCATTAATAATACATAGAATATTAAAACACACGAGGAAATGACACAGCATTGTATTCGTTGATTACAAAACCAGTGACTGACTGGTTCTACGGTACATATAAAACTGAAGAAAATAAGACCTTGGTTGTAGCTGTAGTAAAATTAATATGGTTGTTTTAAGTAATGTTATTTAATGTTAATAAATGGAACAACAGAAGTAGCTAACGATAATGGTAAAGAAAAAAGAGAGATCGCATATGTAAGTGCGCATGCGCACACGTGAAAACATATCATCATTACTTTACATAAGAATATGAAAGCAACACTTATTTACTGTTCATATATATTTTAATTAATGTTTCTGAATTTGTTTTTATTGAATTAATGTATGTGTGTGCAAAATTAACATGACAATTTATTAATAATACGTGGAGACGAGACGGCTGCCGGCATTGTTTATGTTAAAGCTTATGAAACCAGTGACTGACTGATTCTACATATAAAACTGAAGAAAATAAGACCCTGAGTTTAGCTGTAGTAAAATTAATGTAAAAAAATGAATATGGTTGCTTGAAGTACCTGTAATGTTATTTAATGTTAATAAATGGAACAATATAAGTAGCTAACCATTAATGGTAAAAAAAAAGTGAGACTGCTCGTATGTAAGTGCGCACATGTGAAAATATATTGTCATTACTCTACATAAGAATATGAAAGCAACACTTATTTACTGCTCATATATATTGAAGGGTTAAATGTTGTATACTCTGTATAGACAAGCAGAGAGAGAGAGAGAGCAGCCGAACTGCCAGATGTAAACAAACCTTAATTTCCCACGGCTTTTTTTTTTTAAGGGGATTAGCCCACCTGAGAATAGGTCACTGACCCACATTGGGGCCTGAGGGGCAAAAATTTAATACTCCTGTAATAATAATAATAATTCAGATAAGTAAAAAAAAAAAGAAAAAAAAGCTGCCTATCTACCTATTGGACAAACTAAAATCGTTCCGGACCAAGGGAGTTTCCGGACCACAGAATGCCGGACTAGAGAGGTACAGCCTGTACTGTATTTTATTTTATTATTTTTTTTTTTTATCATGGTTCATAGTACTGTATGGAGCTTTCAGGGCTTGACCTCACCATGAAAGTCAATAAACTTACTCACCTAGGGTTGCATCCTTTGCCCTTACGACCTTTGGGGATTGTTCTTTGCTTTACCTTCAGTAGAGGCTTGTCTTTGGAATAAGTCCTCTGTGAAGATGTCCAAACTTGGCAAGGGACTGAGAATTTGGGATACAATCTTCTAACTTGGTTGAGTTGGTTCCATCATACAGTCTAGTCTGGTTTCCCCACTGGTCTCAGAAATAACTACTGAATTCATATGGATTTGCCAGCTAGGTAGGATGCAATATGCTCAACACATCCAGCAAAACTTTTTCTGTTAGAATAATGTTTCCTGCTTTCAAATGCTGTATGCTTACTGGGCATTGGCAAGCTCAGTGCAGGAGGTGCTTACTGGTGGTGGTCTGCTCTTGCAGGTCACAAAAAGGGATTCTGTGACACAACCCTGTGTTTGTGTGCATCTTTCTAATGGGCACATGCATTTAAATTATTGGAAGTCTTGTTAAACACAATTATTAGATCCATTGAATTACTGTATATAGTAAATGGCCTCTTTATTATTCCATTTCAGAAATCTCGCGGACTGACAATGTTTTTCATGAAAACAAGAAAGGATGATGGCAAGCTGAATGGCATAGAAATTGTTAAATTAAAGGACAAATTAGGTGAGCATAGCTTATTTGCATACAATGTTCTGTGTAATATATACTTAATTGTCATTTATTTGATATTTCAGTGACAGTATATGAAATTTGTGCAGTTCAGTCATTTATGTTCTTTGTCTAGGTACTCGTCAACTGCCAACTGCGGAACTTTTGCTAGACGGGTCAGTGGCACACCAAGTTTCAGCTGAGGGCCGGGGTATTGCATCTATTGCCAACATGCTTACCATCACTAGGATGCATAATGCCATGTCTTCTTGTGCTGTTATGAGGAGGTAGGTTAATATTAGAGAACTGATAATTTCCCATACCTTGTAAACCCTGTGCAGTATACAGTACAAGAATATTTCTTTATATTATTATAGTACAGTGCCCATACATTCATTAAGTTATATTTTTAACAGAATAATCCAGCTGGCACGAGATTACAGTCTGCGTCGTTCAGCATTTGGACAAGTGGTCGAGTCTCATCCATTGCATCAGCTGACAGCCTCAAGAATGGAGGTTACTACCAGGGCATGTGAAGCTCTTACCTTCCATATGGCCAGGTAAGTTTTTCTCATAGTCTAAAAGCTTCTACTATTTATGGTGAACTCCTGCTCATAGTGTATTAAGGGTGTTCATTATTTCAATAAGTGATAATTATCGATGGTAAAAGAGTCAGGAACTATATATATATATATATAACTGTATATATATATATATATATATATATATATATATATATATATATATATATATATATATATATATATATATATATATATATATATATATATATATATATATATATATATATATATATATATATATATATATATATATATATATATATATATATATATATATATATATATATATATATATATATATATATATATATATATATATATATATATATATATATATATCATGTAAATCCACAATGAAAACGTGGATAAGATAAATCTTGATAAAATCACACGGGAAAATGGAAACAACGGAGTACCTTAGCTTTCGTCTTTATTCAAGACATCTTCAGAGGCATCTGGATTACATGGACAGAGAGAGGCTTAAATATACAGGGTGACCTTAAAAACATGAGGTCAGGTCATAATGATGTCAATCCCCACACCAACACACACGTAGAGGAGCTTAAGAGAAGGGTGGTGACGTGACTAGCCAGGTCAGGTCAGAAATAAGGGACCCACAAAATAACTATCATACATCTAGATCAAAGGTTTTCAAAGCATTTTTAACCTTGGGCCACTGACAAATAAATTTATGTAACATATTATCAGTTTTGAACTGACCATCACTAAGGTTTATTGATTTTAATACCTTAATCAAACTAGCTTCAACCAGAAGTCTTTCTGTGACACAAGATGATTTGAATACTTCTAAGCTTTTTTTCTCAAGCAATGGGGTGATTATTATTCCTAACATGAACGAACAAGGCACTGCTTTCAGATGCAGTTCTGATATTATACTTATGTTGTTTGATTCTGAGCTGCAGTGTTTTTCCTGTCTGTCCTACATAATTACAATTACATTTGCTACATGGAATACAATAAACACTTCCATTTACATTCAAACTTGGGCTATTTCTTATTAATAAGAGTGGCAGCCACTATCATTGTTTTTCATTTGTGATAAGTTCTTTTGCTCTGTTTTTGTGATTGTGAAGTGACGTAAGTGATTAATTTGGGTACCAGAAATGGGAAATCATATTTTATTCTATCATATTATTGTATGCATTTTCTTTCCTTTCAAGACTTCTTGGTCGAGAGGAGGCAGGTGTGGCTACTAGTCAAGAGTCATTGGTTCTTCGAACTCTAACTCCCATCATGAAGTTTTTCACTGCTAAAATGGCTATGAAGATAATATCAGAAGCCTTGGAGTGTTTTGGTGGGCAGGGCTATATTGAGGACACTGGTCTACCATCTCACCTGCGGGATGCTCAGGTGAGTTGGAGTGTCACTTAAGGTACATCCTATTATGTAATTTTTTTTTTGGCTTCATCATTGTTTGAATTATTATTCTTAATATCTTACCATTATTTGTGGTTGAATGTGTGCTGAACTTAAAGCAAACCAATCACAGTGCAGCATTATGGGCAAGTCCATTCTAAGAGTGGGGTGAATAAATTGATCATTCTCGGGTCTGAGAGGAGGAAATAGGTTGTGGGATTGCTTGCTGGCGGGAATTTCAAATGACTGCACGTGGTGGGAATTTCAAATGACAAATACATAAGGGTTCGAACAAATGTTTCTTGACTGGATTTGAGGCAGTATGGCACACACACACACACACACAGGTTGACCACTGAGTTTCCGGCACCCTGGGGACCAGAGCCACGGAATCGGACGATTGGGCACAGTCGTTTAGCCGCGGACGTTTGGTCGCCAGGTGATTTGGCGCCAGGTTTTTGGGCGCCATACATTTTGGCGCTAGGAAATAAAATGTTCATTTGATTCATCATAATTCAAAGGTCAAACTATAAAAAAATTTAAAACTGTAATTTACTTATATACCTAAACAGTTAAATCTGTTAATCAATAAAAAAAAAGTTATGTAACTTTTTTAGCTCTTCATTTGGTAATTATGAGCAAGGCTCCTCAGGTACTCGACAGCATCTATGTTTTCACATCTAAGAACGGTTTCATGTATTCTTCTATCTGCATCTCTATACTTTTTTAGTTTCAGCGGTGGTTCATGCCCAGCTAGTAACAGTTCATAATACTGTATGCATCTCTACCTTTCTGTACTTTATGCAGCCCATCTATTGATTTTCATATGGTGAGACGTTTTTCAAATAAACAATGTTCTTAGCGCCAAAGCGTCCGCCGCCAAATGGGCTGGCGCCAAAATGGGTTTGGCATTCAAGCGCCGTGTCTAATCGCCAGCGCCCAAATGGCTGTGCCAAAACATACCAGACTCCCATAGCCATGCTGGACCATCAGAGGTCTGTATACTGTATATAGGTAAAATCATAGACATAATTTATAGCAACACTCTAGATTCACACTAACGTATTGTGGCCGTGACCATCACCACAGCAGTTGACGCTATGAACAGTGTTACCAACTCTGAAACTTAATTCCCGCCTGTCCAGACCATCAGAAGTTTCCGACCAGTGATTGCTGGAAATTCGGTTATCAACCTGTATAAAGAAAGGAGTGTTGAGTTTTCTCTCAAGTCAATTTTCTTACAAACATTTTTACCATTTCATATAAATCCTTCTCATATACAGATACTTTAGCAGGAAGTTAAACAAGATAAGCTGAACATAAATCCCTATTTTATATGGTGTTTATTTAGTAGATTTTTGTGGCCATATTAATGTCCCTTCAACAGGTTTTGCCAATTTGGGAAGGAACAACAAACATCATGTCTCTGGATTTCCTTAGAGCTATGGCAAAATCTAAAGGAGAAGCCCTGACTGCTGTGTATGATGATGTAAAAGGTATATATGAATAACATTTGACATTTTTATAAGATAATTTTAAGTCATGGAGAACCATTCACAAAAAATTTAGCCAAGCATGACCAATTAATTTGTGAATTTTACTAATTCTTGAGAAGTACAGTAATCATTAAGAATTTGATACAAGAAAGTAAAGCAATGTAGGAACAGAATTTTCTTAATCTATAATAATAAAAGGATGTGTTTTGTCTGCGAGTGTTTGTTCCACTCATAGTTCCAAAATAAAAGTAGTTAGGGTCCTTTTAAACATAATTTGACTGGAAACAGAAAAAAAGCATTTATGTTGAAGAGTCTCAAACAAGATGTTCCTTCCTCTAAACTGGTAAACAAACTGACGCCAAGCTTGGTATGTTGAGTGGCTGTTTGGCGCGCAAAAAACTAGTTTCCTGTACTTCAATTATGTTCAATAATTGTTAAAATGACTAAAAATTTTAATATAAAACTTTTAAAATTATTGAATAGCACAACCTTCTTGATATTTTCTAAAATGGTAAGGAATTTAAGCCCTAAAACCGATTACTGTATTGGTGGACTAATACTGCAGCTGGTGGGCAGCCAAATGCAGGCGAAAACATGTTGGGAAAAATTCGTAAGGAATTAGTTAACCGAGGTTTGCTTGTTAACCAAAGTGAAGAATCTTATGGAAGGTAATTCATTAACCGAAATTTTGTTAACCGAGGCGCTCGTTAACCGAGGGATCACTGTATGTTAAATAAATTTCAGAATGACCAATACTGTAATTGTATACTGTAAAAACGTAAAAATACTCTGTGTTTAAGAGACCCACAAGCAAGATGTTTCCTCCACTGAACAGAGATACAAACTGAGGCCTTGGTGGGTGAGTGAAGTGGCTGATTGGCGCATCAAAAACTAGTTCCCTGTACTGCAATTATGTTAAATAAGTGTTAAAATGACTAAAAAATTTAATAGAAAACTTATTGAATAGTACAACCTTCTTGATATTTACTCCAATTTTAACAAATGTAAGCCCTAGAACCGATTTCTGTATTGGCGGACTAATCTTCCAGCTGGTGAGCAAGCCAAAGCATGTCGAAACATTTTCGTTAGAATTTCGTTAATCGAATTTTTGTTCGTTAACCGAATTGAATATTCTTATGGAAGGTAATTCGTTAACCAAAATTTCTTTAACCGAGGCGTTCGTTAACTGAGGGACCAATTTACAATAATATTTATTAATTTCTGATAAATATACTACAATATTATACAGTGGTCCCTCGGTTAACGAGCACAATCCGTTCTAGAAGGTTGCTCGTTAACCGAAAAACTCGTTAACCGAAACCATTGTTTCAATGGGTTTTTGGGTAATTGGTTCCAGCTCACCGAAAATTGCCTAAGTTCAACAAAAAAGGTAGAAAATTACACTTACTTTGAGGTGTGTATGTAGAAGGCTCCTGGATGATGATGATGATGATGATGGGAATTAGAATGGGGGTGGAGGAGAAGGGAGAAGAGAAGGCATTGGGGAGGAAGAGAAGTCACCCCATGGTGCCATTTCACCCATAAAATTTTAGTTCTCTTGGTGTAATTCAAGATTATTTTCTTTAAATCAACACTGCACTGCATTATATATTGTCAATATGTAAAATATATTTCAAAATGAACAATAATTTGCTTGCAAACAGAAAAAAAGCATTTAGTTGAAGAGAATCTCAAGCAAGATGTTACCTCCACTGAAAAGACACAAAGACTGACGCCTGTATGGTGTGTTGAGAGGCTGGATGGCGCGCATAAAACTAGTCACTTTACCTTCAATTATGTTCAATAATTGTTAAAATTACTAAAAAATTTAATATTAAACTTTTAAAATTATTGAATAGTATAAACTTCTCGATACAGGTATTTACTAAAATAGTAAGGAATTTAAGCTCTAGAACCGATTACTGTATTGCTGGACTAATACTACAGCTGGTTGACTGCCAAGTGCAAGCGAAAACTTTTTGAGGTCGGCTCGTAAGAAACTCGTTAACCGAAGTTAAGAATCTTATGGGTGGTAACTTGTTAACCGAAATCTCGTTAACCGAGGCGCTCGTTAACCGAGGAATCACTGTACTAAGTGCTCAAGAAAGGTCCTGTGTTAAGCACCGACCATCTTGAGCAATGACAACAATGGTGCTTGAGAGACGTTGATGCTCTTAACATTGTTATGGAGAGCTGTTACTGCTCTGAAAATAAGAGACTGGGAATATACTAAGGTACAATAGCTCTTCTGGAATTGAGTGTTGGATTTTATGGAGAATTTTTTTTATTTTTTAATATAGTTTTATTAACCCATCACCAAATGAACCGAAATAATATGGGAATTATGGTGAAATTGCATACTGTCATTATAAAGGGATTGCAGGTGGTGAGTTGTCCTCCCTCCTCCGCCACCATCTTTCCCCAGCTACACGCAAAAGTAGTTTTACACAATATCTTAATATAACTCATATTCTATTCCTATTCCTTAATCTATTTCATAATACAGTACAGTATACAGTATTCCTATAATAATAATAATCGACTTTTCGGAATCCCTCGGTTATTTCAGAGTCATTCCGAATTTAAAGCGATTAAATAATTTTTTTATAATGTTCTAAATTGTCGAGGGTACAGTGTAATGTGTATTTCTTGGTGTAATTAATATTACATTCAGTTACCAAATGTAGTAGGATCAGTATGGCACAGAGCCATGCACACCAACACTCCTGGGACATCACGAGTTGCTTGTGGCATTTTGGAAGTCATTGGACCCATCTCGGCAGATACTTTTTGAGATGCTGTACATAGGTAAATAACAAGTATATCTGGGAAGACCATGAAATTCCTGTGTCAGCACATCAGCATCTTCCAGTGCTGTAGGAAAAAAAAAGAGAAAAGAAATTGTAACTTCGTGATAAGAATTTTTTTTTTCTCGTAACCAGATCTTCTTAGATTGAGTGTATTTGTGTAGGGTGGGCCCTGTAAGAACATCATCATCTTGTTTAATTACAGTATGAATGTAGTATTTCTGCTTATTTTATTTTCTTGAATATATTGCAGTCATGAACAGGCATTTCACTAATACTGTACTGTATCTGTTACACTGAGAAAGTGCAGGTGGTCAGTAACTTCTGAAAGAACATATGCTAATGAATATAATGTTTTTTATTTTTAAAATGGGCATAGGTGTCATTGATCTTATTCAGACAACTGGAAAATTCACAAAACTGGATTATTAAAGTTCTATTATTTTGGGGTTTTCAAGGTTGTATTGTAATAAAAAGGTGGAAATTAAAATGCTCTTGAGTCAGAAGTGACTGAAAGTGTAATGAGTTTTTCCATGTTCATTTTGCAGCTCGCATAGAGGAGGTGACATCCATCATGACTGAAGATTTGCAAGACTCGTGCCACAAGGTGACCCAGTCCATGGATGAGCTCACTAGCTTCCTGCAGCAACATCCTCACCTTATCCAGCCAGCAGCACGAGACATTGCTACATCTGTTGCTCACATTTATATTGGTAAGAAATACCCTTAAGTCCTTTTTAATTTTAATTGTAATAGTAGGGATTTACATTACAGTTTTCTTCAGTTTGCTAACTTAGATTGCATTGCAGGTATGAGAGATGCACTTATATCATGAAAGAAATGTGATGGAATGATTCTAAAATCCCATTTTATAACCAAGTCTGAAAATATTGATTAATGAATATGCCTGCAAAGTCTATGGGCTTGGAAATCTTGGAAAGCTTTAAACTCAGTGGGTGGGGTGTAATCTGAAGGTCAGCCATCCCTAACAATAACCCTAGCTCTTAATGTAGGGGTCTGAAAAGTCACAACTATACAAAGATTGGAGACTATTGAGTTGTAACATTGCACAGTGTATAAGCTGAGTCCTTATCAGGCCCAGTTACAAAGAAGGAAGAACCATCCTCACAACCAACCAACTTTTGAGGAGGATCCCCAGGGAGGAGGGTGGAATTTGAATTGTTCATTATAGGCTCGGTTATAAATTGAAATTTCATTATCAATCCACCATTTATATCTTGATGCCTGTGAAGAATGGTGTTTGAATAAAGAGATCAACTAATGATTATGAGGGAGGTACTAAAGAGCTACAACTCAGTAAAATTGTGCAGAATAAATAGTACTTGAACTCTTTACATTATGCTGCTCCTTGATGTTCCCAAAATCATTTAAGGGACGACTCATTTCTTGAGTACTCATCAGTCATACTCATCCGTCTCAGGGAGGATTAACACTATTTACGGCCAGCCAACTACAAAGGTAATATAAAGGGACGGAGAGAAAGCTGTATTCTTTGTTTGTAGACTTGGAGAAGATATTTGACTGGATGACTGACAGTGGGCAATGAGGATGTTATGGGTCTCGTGTGAGGGCTGCAAAATCACTATGACACTTGGTAGTAAAGGCAAGGAAAGTGAAAAATTTAAGGTGAAAGGCCTTTAGCCTAGTGTCTTTGCTTATCTTAGTGTAAGAGACACTATCATCACATTATGTTACTAAAGGCTGAGTCAGTACAATGTTGGCAATTTTTTTATAAATTTTATCAGATGAGTACAAGGCTACTCTGCCTCAATTTGATTTTGTAGTGCAGGACAATTTTGTGGTCGCATACATTCTGATTCTCCTTCAATAACTTTATTAAGTAAGCTTCAGATTCCTGGGTCCAGGGTAATTTTTCCACTTGGTTGGTATTGGTCTTTGAACTGCAGAAGGAATGTTCCAACCTACATGTATGGCGAATGTAAACAAACATTGGCTTCAAGTCTAGATTCAATACATAACCAATATTTGTTTTATAAATTATTGTTGTACTGTTCTTTACATGGTGATTGTGTGAAGTCTGCTAGGTGTACATGCATGTGTGTGTGTGTGTGTGTATCAGCATTGTTCCAGTACGAGTGCTGCCCTCTTGTGGTCTGTGTGCGAATGAGTTGTGAATAAGATAGTCTCATACTTCATTGTACTATAGTGAATGAGACAGTTTCCATTCCTTATATGTATTGTAGTAGTTGACTTGCTTGTTAGATAATATACAGTAGTCATTCTGAATCTTGCCATCACCTACAGCAGTGTTGCCAATGTATACCATTTTCGTTTGCGATGTGAACTAAAAAAGTGCTCGAAGTTCGAAGGGGAAACTGCGAATTCACAGTTAACGAGAGTGTGAACAAAAAGTTCACACATGTTTTAAAGAGGAAAATACAAAATAAATGAAGAATAGAAGATGTATTTATTAAAGTTTAAATGGAATAGTAACTTACTTGTTCCAAAAATGATGTACAAAGTCTCTTCATTGATATACAGTGTACTGTATAGCATACATTCACGTAATTTTCCCTTATCACATGGCAGTTGCAAGACAGATAGAGCAATGGGAACCTTTGAAATTATATTTTACCAGCATAAGTATGGAGGAAAAATTTCACACAATTTCATCTATTCTAGAAAGCTTAAATGATCCATCCATATGCCTATACAATAAAACCTCGATTAACCAACCCTCGATTAACCAACTTTCATATTAACCGTCAATCCCGAAACCCCCTTTTTACGGGGATTAGCCCACCCGGGCACAGGTCACTGACCCACATCGGGGCCTGGGGGGCGATAATGTAATAATATTAATAATGATAATGATAATAATAATAGTAATAAAGAACCATAAAGAAATGCAAAAATTAACAAAAATCAAGAGTGAGAAACAATGTACCTGTATGTATGTTGTGTTGTCAATAGTAAGAGAAACAATTGAGACCCTGCAATTGTGTGTAAATGAGGCAGAAAGTCAGATCAGCAACCTGGGACTTGGTCACAATTTTTGTGATGACATATGTTCTTTGACTTTTCCATTTTTTATTCACGGTTTCTGTGCTGGTTCATATTTATTTACTAAAGCGGTTAATGTTTTAAAGCAAATTCTATTGAAATATGAATGGCAAATGAACAAAAATGAATACTGGGAATTAAATGAGGTACCAGTAGGTTAGGAAAACTACTTTGAAAATGTATGTTTTTTCCGTAGACTTTATGTACTATTAACCTACTTTTTGGATTATCCGTCGGCCCCTTTCCCCCATATGTAGTCGGTTAATTGAGGATTTACTGCTGCTGCTGCTCTCAGTCTCGTGTTCGGACTTCTCTACCAACCTGGACAGCTGGTGGCCTTTTTCCTGACGAACAAATTGACGCTTGACGCTCTGCTCGGGTGAAAAGTTGACTGCGTCACCTGTAGCGTTACCTGCCCAAAAAATTGATGGCGTCAGCGTCAACAAAAGGTTACTGCCGTCCATTGATGGCGTTAAACTAACGCCGTCAACATACAACACTACCCTATTGTACCCGGTATATAACCCACATTTATATAAGTACAAACACATGGAGGAACTACCGGGCCCATAGTTAAGCGTCACTGTTGTTTAAAGGGCGAGTTCATGCCTTGATTGCCATGTTGTCAGCACTGTCAGGAACAAACAATGAATACCATTAATAATTATTGCGACCCCCTCCCCAACACACACGCGCACACACACCACGCTACACTGTCTGCTGGACATTTTTGATGGTTGGCACTCATTATACAATATCTGTATATAATGAAATAAAATACACTGAATAAACTTTATACATTGCCAAACTTGAAACATAAAGGTGTACTGTACTGTATAATAAATATGATCATCTTGTGATGAACTGATCAACTTGAATACACCCACACAATTGGAGGAGTGCCATGGGTAGGTAGGACAAGAATGACATGGGGAGAGGTTGTAAGAAATCACCTGATGGAAAAGGCTGCAGGAGACGATGCAGCCTGGGGAGCTGCCACCAGGTTATCACGACTACTTCACTCAACCATGAAAAATGGCTATGATGTTTTGCTGAAATTAAATTCAGTTATTGACTGGCAAGTGTATCTAATATTTATTTTTTTATCTCAACACAGGCAGCCTCCTCCTCGAGCATGCAGCATGGGAGAAGAGCAGCAATAGTAAGGAAGTGGCCAAAAGATGGTGTCAACAACGTCTGACATGCCTTACCCTTGATGAGTATTCTGCTGATAATAAGGCCTTATATATGGAGGGCTACAATCTGAGTGAAATTTATGGACCCATGTTTTAAGCAAGAATTTTTTCTTTCTTTTTTTGTTATGTAACCTTTTTCATCAATTTTATTATTATCACTTATGTATTTTATTTATCGTAGGTTTTTTCATTGCTGTGGGTTGTTTTTAATCTTAAGAGTTAAAAGAATGAAGATTCCTTCCTTTGAATTATAATTACCCAAAAATAAAGTCTTACATCTTTCTGAAAGTTGCCTCAGGGAGAAGCCACCTAACCTTGCCAGTTATGAGATTACTTGCCACTATGGCAAGAGGAGCTCTATTTATAAAGCTTATTGAGCTGTAAAACTTAAAACTAGAATGGGGGCAATAATTTGTTCAATTAAGCATCTTTATCCACTGGAAGAATCTGTGGAGAGAAATAATGAAGCTCAGGATGACCCCAGTAATGATAATGTACTGTATCAACAAGTACAACTGATGCACTTCCCTCAGATATAAATTTAGATATAAGAACTAACAAATGAAAGGCCACTGAATGTTGCAAGGCTTGGCTCAAGAGAGTATGTCATGATGAGTCAGATCCTTAATAATGCAATACCTGTAATAACTACCTGTATTCATCAGGAATACAGTCTTCTGCACCCCCCCCCCTCCCAGATGTCACAAAAGTATGTACATATAATTGTAAATATTTCTTTAAAGTAAGCATTAGAATATTAATTTGAGTACAGTATAGTTATTTGGATGAGCTAACACAGTAAGTGTTTAAATATATCATACGAAATGGCCAAGAAGATAGGGAAAACGTACTTAGTGGGAAGTGAAATTTATATCTTCTAAAGGACGATTTGCTTAATTACCAAATTTAAGAAAGACCTACTTCGTAAAGAAATAATAAGTTTACCAAATTATAATTTATAGTTTAGAAAATTAAGTCAAATTAGGCATAAGACATTTTTCCATGTAAATATAGCGTGGGGGCTAGCTTCACGGCTTGACGCATATAAACACCAAACCTTGGGCGGTAAAGACGAGCATCAGCCTTCTTACAGGTGAGTCCAGCACAGACCCTCAGACGAGAAAGACCAGCGAACTACGTACCTGTATTAGGTGTTCTAATAACTTTTGTCAACTATTTATAGTCACCATTTAAGTTTATATTAGTTGTGCTTATCAAGATTTAAAAGTCATGATGCAATTGTAACGAGAAGCCCTCAAGATCGATGATTCCCCGGCTCAGTCATCAAGCTAAGAAACCCATATTTGTTACAGGGGGTCTTCATTATAAATGGTTAACAGGGACCAAAACAAAGCCATTGATAATCAAGCCACTAATAAACGGGAATTAATTCCCATAATAATTAATAGAAATACGGTCTAATTGGGATCATCACTTTGTAAGTGACACACAAAGTTTAATTTGATATCTCTTAACATTTATATATATAGTACCTTAGAAACATTTGTTAAACATTAGATTACACATTATTTTATTAAATTAACTGACTTTATAACTTATTTAAGGTACGGTACTTAAATTCGTTTGGGGTCGGCGTGTTGAAACGGCGCAAGCTACCAAACCACGTACAGTCCTCATACGCACCACTTCAGTGAAAATGGTTCATTGATACACGCTTATCACTTTTCTTACGACAAGCAACTTCTACTTCCAGGCCGTCCCATAGCTACTATGCTTTCCTTTTTTTTTTTTTGCCACTACACCACCTTGCTTTGGTTTGGAATTGATGGCTACAAAAGAGTCCACCAAAGGCACAACAAAATTTATAATTATAGTCCTTAGAACACTTAAAAATAATGCTTGTGGACGCAGCCGACTGGTACTGAACACGCAAAGCGTGGATGAGAAGGATGAACTTTAAGAGAATGGGAGGCGAGCGGGAATTTCAATCACCCAAATGCTGGTGCTCCCAATGATCGTTTTTCTGTTGATCGACAGATTTCAGCCATAGAATCCTCTTAACTTTTTGGGACTTCTTACATGTAGTCCCACAATTATTTGACCACTTGGGGCAAAACCACTTAAAATGAAGACACTCATAAGGGGGACCCCCTGTGTATCTTTGAGCAGAATTTTACACTCTCAAATCGTGACTGTGTATTGTTACCGGCGCTAATACAGTATACAGGTACAATTCAGTAGAGACTATGTTTAGACCAATTCATCTTATGGTGTTTTAAAAGAAAACCTGAGTTATAACATGGCGATTTACATCATCATTCATCATTAACTGTTTTAACAGTTTAAAAAGATTGCCATTGAATTAGTGTATAGACTACTCCCATTATAATAATTAAACAGTAATCATACGTAATCTTTCAGTTTTGATAGTGTAGCCGTGGTAAATTTATCAACTGCAATGGAGTAAGGTCTCGTATTTTTACTTCGTATATTACCACGGGATCTGCAGTCCTACCACCAATGTGTATGCATAAACCTCTATTCCAAAATTCCTGACAAAACCTGTACTAGCATCACCAAAATGCAAGTAAATAATTAACATGTCGGACTGATACACTGAATTGAAAGTGATTTTAACAAATTTTACAAAAAAAAATATAATATTAATACAGTAATTTGATTTTTTATCTATTTTACTCCTTATGTAAAGCTGCAAGAATTGGGGTTAAGTCTGCTCACTAATGTACAACCACAAAAAAAGTCCTGTCAGTCCTCCGTCCCATCCATGAACCTTGAGACTCATAAACTTGTGAATTCGAGACATCACACATTGTTGGGCCCATAGATGTGATGTCACTGATTCACAGGTTCACAAGTCTCAAGGTTCATGGATGGCACGGAACACTCACAGGATTTTTTCCATGACTGTACTGTACAGTTCACACAGTTTCTTAAGGCAGAATTGGAGACATCAACCTTTGGGGGAGTCTGAAGAGTGGGGACTGGAGGTGCAGCCTTCATCTTGGAAAAATGATTGCCAACATTTTCAAAATTACATTGCTCACTTCACTGTCACAAAAACAGAAGGAGAGTACCTCACAGTCACTAAAGTACAGTACTTCACATTCAGAGAAAAAGTACCTTACAGTCACTAAAGTACTGCACAGTCAGAGCAAAAGTACCTCAGTCACTAAAGCAACTTCAGAGTCAGAACAAAAGCACCTCACAGTTGTTAAAGCACTTCATATTTAGAGCAAAAGCATCTCACAGTCACTAAAGCAGAGAAAGTACCTCACAGTAACTAAAACTGAGTACACTACTGTGTATCTAAGGGAAAAAACACTGATAACATAAAAATAAAGATACCAGTTGCCGCTGCTCACCTCGTGTTTACAACAACACAGCCAAAGAACTTTTCAGTCACAAAGAAAAACAGCCCAAATCACTTCACAGTCACTAAAACAGTGTACATTGTGAACTTTAGTGATGTCCTCTCCCCATAAGGTAAAAAAAAAATGATGGCTAATGAACATTGAGTTCCATTTCTTACACAAACATGTAACCAAGAAGAAACAATGCCTAGATTGTAGTTCACCAGATGGCCACAAGTCAGCATTAGGGTAGATGACACCTCAGCTGACAAATGAGGTGAGTGATGAGTTCCATATGCTGACTTGGATGGATGATGAATATTTTTAATGCGAGTTCATTTACATCGAAAATAGGGAGGTGGTCTTAATATGACAACACCGTTAATGCAAATTATCATATTGGGACATCGTAAATGAGGTTTACCTGTACCTCGTATCCAGCATCTGCACTATTCAGCTTACAGTATTTACAAAGGCATCTTCATGCTTCTTAACCTTGTGCACCACCCATCTTCCCGGTTTTGCACAGTGCAATCTTCTTTTCTCAGTCTGTTCACTTGATCATTCCACCCGTATGTCTTGCTATGCTCTTTGTCCATCACACATAAACGAACATCCTGTAATGTGGCTTACTAACTTCCTGCAATGCCCTTCATACTATCAAGAACCAATTTAGTCAGAGCATTTAAAATTCTATGGGATTTTTGTGAAAGCAAATCCAATGGCCTAGGCAGCCTAAGCAGACACCAATGAACCATAAAAAACTTGTTGGTGGTCAGGAAATCTGATAAGTTTAATTTGGGAAGCTATTGGAATACAACCATGGAATCGACATTCTGATCGCTTGTGTTCGACTGAAAAGACACTTCATTCTCAAAATTCTCTATATTTAAACTCAAAATATATAACATACTATTTTTCACCAATTTTACACACAAATAATTGTAGCATTAAAATCCCCCCCACCAAGAAAAGGGGTGGGTTGACTATTGATAGAGAGGGTCTCTACTCATCATCACTCTGGTCACTCTCATCGTCACCATAGAACAACCAGACACATCAGTGTAACTGAGCCCTGCCTTCTTACAGGATTATCTAGCAGAATGGCATTGCAATTTAGATGTGCACTTGACCAGATGGAGAACAGGTGTTGGTGCTGGCAACTGCATGGTTATGATGAAAGTCTACCCAATCCCATCTTGTTTCCACCCCAAAGTCTGTAGGAGATGGAAACAGGCGTCACAGAAGTGTCAAGGTCAGCCAAGGCTCTTACAATGCTGTCACTTGCATCTTGGAATGCCTTCAAAATGCATGCTTCCCTTGCCAGCAAAATTACCAGTGTTATCATTGCCGATTTCATTGGACCCAAGGTATCATAGATGGAACCGAGTGGAATGGTTCAACTCTGTCTTCAAGTTCTAGTGGCAAAGGCTGAGTCCTTGCAAATTCCTGGATAGTGTCACACAGCCTGAATGAATATATCTGTGTTAGGAGAGCAGATTTTCGTGCTTTTAGCCCCATAAGCTGTGGCATCAGTAGCATGCAAGATCAGGTTGGTATTGGCCTCTTCACGATCACTGTCTAGGTAGCTCTTATCAGTGTGGGTTGCTCTGCACTGGATGCCCCATGCAGGCTACAACAACTGGATGCCCCATTGCATGTGCCTTCCCCAGGATCTTCTTGGCAAAGTAGCCCATCAGTTCCTTCTTGGGGTCACCATGAGACAGCAGCCTCCTCATGTGAAGCTTTACTATGTTCATCAAATCTGTGATGTGATAGGCTACTGCTGTCTGTGTCCCATCTTCTGTTTCTGGTAGCCTGCTTCAGTGAATGCTTGACATTGTCTCTCTTGAAAATCACTTGCATTTCGTCCATTTAGCTGTACAGTACTTATTAAGGATACAGGGGGTAAAGTGGTCTGCCAGCTGATGACAATTCAGGATGCAGGAGAGCATACCCATTGACTGACTTTCGCACATTCCATCTACTGTACTAGAGCAATGTCTGCCTCATGGTCAGCCAGCATGCTGTCATCATCTGGCCCTGGGTCATTGCTCTCTGCTGTTGGCACACTCTCCAGGATGGCTATCAAATCACTCTTCGTGTGGCAGTGCAGCATTTCTCAATCAGCAGCAAAGAAAGAGCTCATAGCTGCCAACAGTTTCCTTGAGGTTAATGTCTGGCTGGGACTTGTACACAACCAGCATTTAACCGAAGAGGTTTCAATCTTCTTTGAGCTACACCGGTTTCTATCCCAGACTGAGCTTCACTAGCTTCCTTGTGATTTTCCAAGAATTTAGCTAACATCTCTTCATAGGAGCCCACAAGTTGATTGCATTTATACTTATTTGGATGTGGGCGAAGACTTCAAACAACTGCTGGCCAATAGTGCTCTGTTCGTACAGGTCTTGGGTTAACCTCTGCGGCATTACTGCCTTGGACACCAAGTTAAAGAGCTCATATCTGTCCTCAGTGAAAGGGCTGGTGAAGCCTTTCAGAGGGAAAGTTAGGTTGTCAATGCTCTTCTCTTGTCTCCTCTTGGCCAAGGCGCCTAGTGCGTGGTGGCTAGTATTGACAGCTGGGTACAGTCCAGTCATTTCTTGAGCTTCCTGTGCTAGTCTGGCACGTTCTGGCGAGATCAGGAAGAATTTTTTTACAGGCGTTTGAGTTCAAGGTGATACCAACCAAGCTGCCTGCAACTTTCATTGAGAAATTAATATGCTCCAGCACAGAAATGCACATTTGGGTTCTTATTCACCATCGGTTGCCGTTAAATATGAATTCTCTATGAATATCGTCAGTAGTTGAGTTTGTTGTGAGTGAAATAATACTTGAAGTCTTTGTAGCTTTAAGGTGAAGGTTCCAGTCTCTGGTTCTGACTGATCTGATGAACTGGGGCATATTCATCACCATCTACTTGTACCGGCACATCATAACAAACAGTGGCTTTCGACCCTCATGAGAGTCAAACTCTGTCATCTTCTCCATAACCTTCAGACTCCATCTCGTGCACCATGTGCTCGTGTGCTTTCTTAATCTTCTCACAGCTGCCATCAGCACATGCCTGTCCAGTAGCTCTGGGTAATGCTGGAAGAAGCCTCTCAGGGATGGAAGCGCCCCCAGAGGCTCTCCTAGGGACAGTGGCACTCCCAGGGGCCCTCTTAGGGAAGGTGGCGCCCCCAGGGGTCCTGTCAGGGGCGCTGGATCCCCCAAGGGATTTCACCGGGAAAGCTGCTCTCCCCGGGCCCCTCCCAGGGACGATGGCACCCATGGGGGCCCTCGCAAGGACGGCGAAGCCTCCAGGGGTCCTGCCAGGGTGCTGGCGCCCCCAAGGGCTCTCGCAGCTACAGCAGCGCCCCCACAGGCCCTCTCATGGACGAAGGCGCAAACAGGGGCCCTCCCAGGGACGGCAGCACCATCAGGGTCTCTCCCAGGAACAGTGGTACTCCCAGGGATGGGAGCGCCCACAGGGGCCGTCTCAGTGACGGTGGTGCCCCCATGGGCCCTGGCAGTGGCGCTGGTGCCCCCACGGGCTCTTTATATTGACAGCAGTCCCTTACTTAACTATGATTGGTGGATTATTCTTTTACCCACCAACTTACAGCCAATAGGAGAAGAGAGCACCCAGTCAACACAGCACCACAACTTATGTTTTCCTGTTGATATTATTCTTCACCACCTTCTTCAGAAAGCGATGATACCGGAAATGCGATGGGCGGCGACCTTAGAGGCCCTTCCAGCGGCTGCAGCACCTGCCAGGGGAACTCCTAGGTGCGGCAGCTACCCCAGGGTCCCTTCCAGAGGCGTCAGTGCCTGATAGGGGCGCTGGCGCCTCCAGGGGCTCTCCCTGTGACAGCCGCCCTCCCAGGGGCCCTCCCAGGGATGGCGGCATTCTTGGGAGTGATTTATTAGGACGGTGGCGCCCCCAGAGGTCCTCCCAATGACAGCAGTGCCCCCAGAGGCCTCCCAGGGATGGCGGCAGCTTCAGGGATCCTGCCTGGGGCACTGGTGCCTCCATTGGCTCTCCCAGGGACATCCGTGCTCTCAGATCATTTCCCAGGGATGGCGGAGCCTCAGGGGCTCTCCTGTGGATAGCAGCGCTTCTAGGATCTCTCCCAGAGACGGCGGTGCTCACTGGGGCTCTCCCAGTGACACCCCTGCTCCCAGGGGCCTTTTCCATGGACAGTGGCGCCCCCAAATGCCTTCCCATAGACGGCGGCGCCCCCAGGAGCCCTGACAGGAGCGCCGGCAACTCAGGGGCCCTCCCAGTGATGGCGGCGCCCCCAGTTGCCTTCCCAGGGACA